AGCTAAAGACTGTTCTTCAAATTTCCAACAAAAGACAAGGAAGAGTCAGACAGGAAGAACAGGAAAGAGCATAGCGAATGGAATGGGATTGCTACACACAGTCAATGTACCCAAGTACAAATGAACACTTGAGTTAAGAAAAAGAAATTAACACCTCTCAGATTAGAAGAATTAATATTGTTAAAATGGCCATACTACCCAAAGCAATCTATAGACTTAATGAGAGTTCTTTCCAATTACCCATGAAATTTTTTCACAGAACTAGAAAAATAATGCTTAAGTTTATATGGAACAATGAAAGACCCAGAATTGCCAAAGCAATGCTGATGAAAAAGAGAAAAACTGGAGGCATAACCCTCCCAGATCCCAGACAGTACTGCAGAGCTACAGTAATCAAAACAGCATGGAACTGGCACAAAAACAGACATATGGATTAACGGAACAAAATAGAGAGTGCATAGATAAACCCACACACCTACCATCAATAAATCTTCGACAAAGAAGGCAAGAATATACAATGTGGCAGGGGGCGGGTGGGTGGTATAGCTCTTCAGCAAGTGATGTAGGGAAAGCTGGACTGCCATGTGACTCAATGCAGTTTGAACACCCCATCATACCATACACAAAAATAAACTCAATATGGCTTAAAGACTTAAGTGTAAAACATGATGCCATAAAATTTCTGGATGAAAACATAGGCAAAACATTCTCTGACATAAATCATAATAATGTCTTCTTAGGTCAGTCTCCCAAAGCAATAGAAACAAAAGCAAAAATATGCAAACAGGACCTAATCAAACTTGTAAGTTTTTGCACAGCAAAGTAAACCATAAACAAAACGAAAAGACAACCGACAAACTGAGAGAAAATATTTGCAAATGATGCAACCAACAGGGGCTAATTTTAAAAATATACAGACAACTCATACAACTCAATAACAAAAAACTCACACAACCCTATCAAAAAAATTGGCAGAAGACATAGACCTTTCTCCAAAGAAGGCATCAGTTCAGTTCAGTTCAGTCGCTCAGTCGTGTCCGACTCTTTGCGACCCCATGAATTGCAGCATGCCAGGCCTCCCTGTCAAAAAGTAGGACAAAAGGTGCTCAACATCACTAATTATTAGAGAAATGCAAATCAAAAGTAGTGCAATGAGGTTTGACCTCATACCACTTAAAATGGCCATCATCAAAAAGGCTACAAATAAGAAATCCTGGAGAGGGTGTGGAGAAAATGGAACCCTTCTATCCTTCTGATGGGAATGTAAACTGATGCAGCCATGATGGAAAACAGTATGTAAATTTCTCAAAAACCTAAAAGTAGAGTTAACTATATGATCTACCAATCTCTCTCCTAGGCATGAGTGAGTGAGTGAGTGAAGTCGCTCAGTCATGTCCAACTCTTTGTGACCCCATGGACTGTAGCCTACCAGGCTCCTCTATCCATGAGATTTTTCAGGCAAGAGTACTGGAGTGGGTTGCCATTTCCTTCTCCAGGGGGTCTTCCCAACCCAGGGATTGAACCCAGGTCTCGGATCGAACCTGAGTCTCCCGCATTGCAGGCAGATGCTTTACCCTCTAAGCCACCAGGGAAGCCCCAAGGCATATATCTGGAGAAAACTAATTCGAAAATATACATGCACCTCAATGTTGATAGCAGCACTATTTACAATAACCAAGACACAGAAGCAACCTAAATGCGTATTGACAGATGAATGGATTAAAAAAGATGTGGTATATATACAATGGGATATTAGCAATAAAAAGGAATGAAATAATGACATTTGCAGCAATACAAATGGACCTAGAGATTATCATACTAAGTGAAATAAATCAGAGAAAGACAAATATATAATATCACTTATATGTGAAATTTTTTAAAAAATGATACGAATGAATTTATTGACAAGATAGAAAAAGACTCACAGACAGAAAACAAACTTAGGTTACCAAAGGGGAAAGGGGGAGATGACAAATTAGAAGTTTGGGTTTAGCAGATACACATTACTACATACAAAACATAAATAACAAGATCCTACTGTAGCACAGAGAACTATATTTAATATCTTACAATAAATAAGAATCTGACAAAGAATTTATGTGTGTGTATACATATAAATCAAAAGTTATATTTATATAACTGAATCACTTTGCTGTACACCAGAAACTAATACAACATTGTAAATCAACTATACTTCAATAAAAAATAAGTTTAAAAAATTTTTAAAGAAATTAGGGGACTTCCCTGGTGGTCCAGTGGCTAAGACTCCATGCCCCCAATGCAGGGGGCCAGGGTTGGATCCCTGGTCAGATGTCACAACTAAGACCTGGTGCAGCCAAATAAATATTTATTTTAAAAAAATTTAAAGAAATTAACAAATGAATGGGTTCTGTTCTCCCTCACCTGACCTCTTTTATAATTCACACTTATCCTGGTTTGTATATCTCCTAACTCACAGATTTTCACTAATCACCAAGGAAGGGCTCTGAAGAAAAGCCAAAGAAATAAGGAACAGTGTCTGAAAGAATTCCTCCTGACATAACATATCTCACACACATGTGGCATGCCTGGTTTCAGGAAGCAAAGTGTCAAACACAAATCTGGACAGATATAGTACAAGCAGTGTTTCCAGGGAAGCATAATATTTTTCCATCGCTTTGATTAGAACATGTGGTTGCTATAAAAGCAGCAGAAGGAGTCTACAATTTAAAGGAGCATCCCATTTGTTTCAAGGCAGGATTAAAGGAGGGACGGGGCGTTGTGGCTGCAGGTATGGATGAAACAAGATTGCTATCAGTGAATAATTTCTGAAGCAGAGTGAGAGTACATGAGATTTCTTTGTGCCATCTGCTCTACTTTTGTATATGCTTGAAATTTTCCACAATAAAACATGAAAGGAAAGAAGGAGACATTCCAGACGATTCTGCTCACCTCTGTCCACCCTTACAAGGCTGATAAGTTAATCAGGCTGCTTAAGTGTTGAGGTGTCATTCAGGTTAAGTCAAGATACTGTTTTTTCAGATGCTTCCCCTTACTATCCCACTCCCCCTTTTCACTTCCTAGTGTACTACAGGGCACTCAGGTTAAAATGTAAATAGGGGAATGCGTTGGTCAACACTTACGTCTTCAATATAATAGATCCCAGTTTTCTTTCGTGTTTTGCCATAAAGATGAGCCCACAGCGGCATGCTGTGTCACCAGTGCTCAGGCGCAGCGCAGGAAGCGTCTCTGGGATTTAGATCCCAGTTTTCTTTCGTGTTTTGCCATAAGGATGAGCCCACAGCGGCATGCTGTGTCACCAGTGCGCAGGCGCAGCGCAGGAACCTGGAGCCAAAGAGGAAACGTCGGAGTCCCAGCCGCGGGCTCAGAGCTTGGATCTGTTGCTTACCAGCTGGGGCACCTTGGCAAGCTACCTAACCTGTATCTCACAGCGGGGGTGTGAACATTAAATAAGGATAAAGACTCTGGCCAAAAGTCTGGTATTTAGCCACACTCAGTAAATGCGAATTATTTCCTTTCCTGTCGTAACCTGCCTCTTGTCAGCAGCAACAAATAGGAATGGAAGCTGGTGTGACTACCATCTATTTATAGCTGCTGTCTGCCGGAGACCGAGGTGGAAGCGCATACCTCCTGCTATATTCTGGGTCTGAATAAACTCCTTGGATAGGAGATTTTTTTCTTTCTGCCCACGAAATCACTAAATGATTAAATTTGTAAAATGTATAAAATGTTGGGCTGGCCGAAAGGTTCCTTTGGGTTTTTCCATTCTATGCTATGGAAAACCCCAAACGAATTTTTTGGCCAACTCAATACATAGGCACAAATAAGAAAGAAAAAACTATCCATGCTCTTTCCACTAAAAATAACAATGCTTAACACGTTGTGGTATACATATATATATATATATACACACACACACATACATATATATATACACACACACACACACATATATGTTAATACACATAGATACAGATATATGCACTTTTTTGTGAAAGTGAACCTATATATTGTTTGGTCACTGTTTTTGTCACTTAACATATCAAAAACATTTTTCACATCATTAAAATTTCTTCTACGTCAGTTTAAAACAGCTGCCTAAACTATACATAATAATACACAATGATCAACACTAGTTCAAAGGATGTTTTCATATATCTTTGTATATATTCACAATAAATTAAGGTAAATTCTTGGAGGTAAGGTGTTGGGACAAAGTATGCATATATTTCCTGGAGCAGGGCCTGGCAACCCACTCCAGTGGAGAATCTGGAGAATCTCATGGACAGAGGAGCTTGACAGGCAACAGTCCGTAAGGCCCCACAGAATCAGACATGATTGAAACGACTGAGCAAGTATGCACCCATGTATATATTTTAAAGTGTAAAAGGCTTCCCTGGTGACTCAGAGGTAAAGAATCTGCCTGCCAGTGCAGGAGATGCAGGAGACATGGGTTCCATCCCTGGGTCAGGAAGATCCCTGAAGAAGGAAATGACAACCCACTCCAGTATTCTTGCCTGGAAAATCCCATGGATAGAGGAGCCTGGTGGGCTACAGTCCGTGCGGTCACAAAAGAATGGGACACAACTTAGCAACTAACCAAAAGCAACAACAAAAAGTGTAAAACGAAGTCATGTTACCCTCCAGAAAGATTATATAAATGTGTATTCCCAGAACATCATTCTTGTCTTCTTGGACCTGGGGAGTAAGTTTAAGTTTATTAATTTACTCATCAAATATGTATTGATGGTTTACTATCTGACTATTTTGCCTCTCATGGGCCCCTCCCCCAGGATCCACCCCCAAATCCAGTGTTGGGCACACCCCCTAAACCCAAACATTGCCAAGTTCCTGGCAGCAGCTGTCTAGAAAACTGAAACAGGAATCCTCTCCAAACGTGAAAGACCTTCCACTCAACTTTGCAAAAGTCCTGCCTGACGCAGTCACTGAGCCGCCTCTCCTCCTTTGCTTTCTGCCTTTATTCTCTGGTGGGAGTAACCATGTCCTGGAGTTTCCACGGGAAAACCCAGCTAGGGGGACTGCTCCTTTCTCTCCTTGGCTGCGTCTGCTTATGCATCACCACCATCCTTCCCCAGTGGAAGACTCTCAGTCTGGAGCTGAACGAAATGGAGACCTGGACCATGGGGCTTTGGGAGGTCTGCGTGGATCAGGAGGAAGTCGCCACCGTGTGTAAGGCCTTTGAGTCCTTCCTGTCTCTGCCCCGGGAGCTCCAGGCATCCCGCATCCTCATGGTGGCCTCCCATGGGCTTGGACTTGTGGGGCTTCTGCTCTCTGGCTTTGGGGCCGAATTCTTCCAGTTTCACAGGATCAGACGAGTGCTTAAAAGGAGGTTTTGCCTCCTGGGAGGGACTTTGGAGGCATCAGCTGCAGCCACTACCCTCCTTCCAGTCTCCTGGGTGGCCTACACCACAATCCAAGACTTCTGGGATGACAGCATCCCTGAAATTGTGCCTCGGTGGGAGTTTGGAGATGCCCTCTACCTGGGCTGGGCTGCTGGTGTTTTCCTGGCCCTTGGTGGATTACTCCTCATCTTCTCAGCCTACCTGGGAAAAGAAGATGTGTCTTCTCCCCACATGGCTGTTTCTACAACTGCCCCGCCATCTCCAGCACAGGTATCTGATGGCTCCTTCTACCTGATGCCAAGACCTGGGACCCCGTTCACCTAGGACAAGCTTCTGCCAAGGAATCTCTGGGACAGAGGAATGTCAGTAGAATCCTTTTTCTTCCTTACCCTCTTCACTGTATATTTGTTTGCCTCATTTTAGGGATGGTGGTCACTGTCCTGTTTGTTCAGGAATTTGACTGTCTTAGTGATGTGATGATCCTAATTTCAGAATGAAAAATCAAAGCGCAGTTTCTACAAACATATTTATCTGATTTAGATTCTATTTACATAAAATGCTTTTAAACTTATGAATTATATACTTGATTCTTCTATTACCAAGAAAAACATTACAAAATTGCATCCATCCTAGAAAAACTAGTCTACTACACATGCAGACAGAAAAGCTTAAGAATATACCTTGGCAATTGGAAATGAAATATTGGCCTAGAATAGCACCTCAGGATAGGAAACCTCCTTGCCTTCATCTTCAGCTTCAGGTGCATGATTTGAAAGGGAGCATCACAATATATCTTTGCTGTTTTGTAGATTCGTAATATTCCAAAGGGAAGACATATTCTTATTTCTGCTATGTTAGGAGGCTGTATGTAGTCTGCTCTGTCTCCCCAACATGAAGGTAAGAAATGGTGTGAGTGAGTGATAGGGTGGCCAACCATCCTGGTTTGCCCAGAACGGGGCACCTTCAGCACTGACACTAGGAAGATCTCAGGCGTGGCTGTGCCCAAGGACTGCCCAACATGGGCATATACATGGACAGAATTGTCAGCTCCCTGGAAATACCTTTTACCATATGTAGACTCACATAATAAATCCCTTACATTTTAATCCAAATGTCAGATTACCTACCTAGGCTGTAACTACCAATAAAGTCCCTTTCACAACAACGACCCCATTTCCTTTGCTTGTCCCTCTTTCCTGACCACCCGCCCCAGATCCTCCCTAGGAATTTCTGCAGGTCCTCAAGAGGAAGCCTCCTGCTTGCTCATAAACCTGCTCATCAGCTGAAATTACCCTGCAAATCCACCCTCTTCCTTTCACTACCATCTGCCTCCCTCTCCCCTAATCGGCTGAGAGTCACCACTGACCCATCAACAATTCCTGCAGGAGAACAACTAAGGGTGGTGCTTCCCAATGTCCTCAGATAGGTCCCTTCTCTAAGGTCAAAGGCACCTTTGCTCGCAGGACCGAGGAGACCTTCCCTGCACACGCTAGTGGTGTGCTTGTGTTCAAATGCCTCTCCTTCTCGATTGAATAGCCCTGGCCTAACCCTGGCATCTTGAGAATGCCAGGTAGCCTGGCATTCTCGTTCAAGCAAGAATATGCACATACAAGAATAAACCATTTGCCAGCGTAGCCCATAGCAGTTCCCTTTATTTTTTCTGAGGAAATGAGTCTGCCCAGGTGCAACTTTGCCTGTAGTATCTGACTTACTTACCTTCTCACCCAGAATAGCATCCTGTAGGGGATAGTTTCTCCAGAAAACTCTTCTCCCTTTTACATATCCTTTTGTATATGTATAAAAGGGAATTGCATCAAATTTGTATTCTGGCTTTCTCTGGTTTTGATGCCCTTTTTATCAACTATTCTTTCTGGATTACATTTCAAAGATCTTGAGGCCAAGTTTCAATCAGGAGTGAAGCTCAAATATCCAAGAGTTCTCCTTGGATCCCATAGAATCTCCAAGCAGGACCCGTGTCATCATTCATCCATCTGGTCATTCATTCACTCTTTGAACAAATATTATTGTCTACCTACCACATGCCAGGCATTGTGCTAACAACCAGGAATAAGACAAAACTTGTCCCTGCCCCTCATCTAGGCAATTAGGGTAGACAAATACTGACAGGGAGTCACATCAGTGCAAATTGTAATTGTGACAAATTTACAAATTTGGAAAGGTACATGGTTCCATGGGCTTCCCTAGTAGCTCAGTGATAAAGAATCCATCTGCCAATGCAGGAGACATGGGTTTGATTCATGGGTGGGGAAGATCCCCTAGAGAAGGAAATAGCAACCCACTCCAGTATTCTTGCCTGGGAAATCCCATGGACAGAGGATCCCGGTGGGCCACAATCCATGGTGTTGCAAGAGAATCAGACACGACCGAGTGACTAAACAACAATAACACATAGTTCTATAAGATCATGCAATAGGAGGAATTTAACCTGGTCAGGTTCGATGAGTGGGCACCCTAAGGAAATGGTAACTGGCTAAAAGCTGAAGGGTGGACAGCAGTTCTAGATGGAGAGAGAAGAAAGTGTAAGGCAAGATTGAAATAGGAAGGAACCAGACCATGCAGGGCCTGTAAGTCCTGAAGAATGTTATCTGTGTTCTTAGAACCACAGGAAGCCAAGCGTGGGGCCGGGAATAGGAGCTCAGCTGACCTGCAGCAGGAGCCCACCCCACTTTCCTAACAACTTGTCCCTGTGCCATATCCCTGCCACACAGCTGGGTGGGGATTAAGAATGACAATGCACTTTCACATATCTTGTGCTTTATTTACTGTTGTTTTGAGGGTTGGTTTTTCGTTTTTTTGAGCTGGGGAGAACAGATATTATTTGTTTTCCTAATGAGGAAACGAAGAATTTAGGCAACATGCCCACAGTGAGTAATTAGCTGGCAGAGACCTGAATCCCAGGTTTGGATGCCGTGGCATTCTCTCATCACCCCAACTGGTTGCTTCATGGGGATGGGCTGCCGACAATCCACCAGAACAAAGGAAAAACTAGCACCCAAGCAGAAGGGAAAAAAAAAAGGACCTACAAGAAAAATCTTGCGCTCTGTGCATTTGTTGGGGTCTAAACAGGGTCTTTGTTGTCAGATAGCTCACCTGCTCCTGCTGGTGGCTTGCAGCCCTCACCCTAATCCCCAGGGTGCAGGTGCTGACGATGTTTTCCATCAGTGTGATTATGACTTCCTCTGCAAAGAAAGGGCACAAACTAAACATCTGTTAAGGGGGGAAAAAAAAAGTCTGTCTTCCTAACTCTCCTTTAAAAAGGACACAAAGACATTTAAAAAAAAATTCGGGAGTGGAGCAGGCACTGTTGATTGATTCCCAAGCAGTCAATAGCATGTCATCCCCTGAAGGAAGTGATCTGCATTCTGGACAGAATCTACTTTTCGAGAGAGAATCTGAGGAAGAAGATGCTTTTCACCTAAAACTGCCACCGTGCTTATCTACCTGCTACTTTGTAGGGAAAATAATGAGAAATAAAAATAGAACTCATTAAATCTTAACTTCAGCTCAGTCTTTTCTCATACATTTGTGGCAAATTAGCATTAAAAACATTTCTCTATTGTGGTTACACATGGAGAAGTGTGTTGTCATATGTATGAGAAACAGAAAGGGACATCAATCAATTAAGGTTTCAAGCCAAAAGCTTTTATTATGTGCAAGGCATTGTAAGAAAATAACTCAGGGACTTGCCAAACCTGATGCAGTTAGAATTTGATGAGTTCCATGCTATCTTCTCCCCTGGCCTTCCTTTGAATCTGAACATTTCACCATTTGCAAAGAAGGCATTGCAGAAAGTCCCTGTTAAAATGTTCATCTGTTACCCTTCTGAGCCTCTGGGACTAGCTCTAAGGGGAAAGTCGCAAGGGTGAGACACATTTTGGAATGGGAGGAAAATCAGAAATAGTTTCATGGGCTTCTGGACTGGAGGTGTGTCTTAGCAGCCAGGGTTAGGGTAATACAAAACTCAGAGGTCGGAAAATGTTTGTAGTCACTGGCCTCTGATGTAGAACTGAAAGAATCTGGAATCACATTCCACTCTAATTTGTGGGTTTATTTGTAAAGCCAGGTGTTCTTGCTATCTTGGCCATATCGATAGTTGCCCAGAATTTTGAATGGTACCTCAAAGCTAAATCCAGTGGGCGACATATGCCTTGGGTTCTTCAGGAAACCCTGTGTCTGGACAGAACTAGTTCTGGCAGGCTAGTCCTTAATGGTTGCAAAGAGCTGGACACGAGTGAATTGACTCAGTACTAGTACTCACTCTCAAGACAGGGGCTCACCACTCTGCTGCTAAGAAGTAAACTGGTGGTCAGCCTTCACACAGCCCGCCTAAGAGAAGCACCCAGACTCATCAGGGAGGATTCCTGGAAGGGAATTCACAACAGTCGGGAGCACTGTGATGTCTCCACCCTTCCTTGGGAGGGGGGCGGTGGGGAGATGGACCACAGGAGAACCACTCACAGATGCAGCTGTTCCCAGCGGGGAGGATGGTATCTGAAATGTACCCATCCCACCCTGCTGAGCGGCGGAAACTCCTGGATGACCGAGGCACAGAGGAGGGTGCCTGACCACCACTGGAGCAGCCCGAGGCAAGGGGCTGGCTTGGGTGGGGCGAGCAGCAGCACCAGTCCTCCTGCCTTTTACTGGTGCGTGGATGGTTAAGTTTTCTGTAACCTGAATGGGTGCTGGGGAAAGCAGTCTGGAGGGCACTGTCCGGAGCACCGCTGGAAGGTGGGAGGGGCGAGAGCAAGAGCTGAGAGGATTGGGAGAGCTCAGTCAGAAAGTCCCAAAGCTGCACCAGGGAATGATGCGGAGGTTTTGCACAGGGTTCTCTGAACAATCGTAAAATACCCCACACAAGAGCTAGTAGTTGGATTCCTGCCATAACAAAGAACCAAGAGATTATTTTTTAAAATATTGATTTATTTATTTGCTGTAGTGGGTCTTGGTTGTGGCATGTGGGCTCTAATTGTCCAACCCACTCAGGAAATCGGTGTTTTCAAACTGTGGCACTGGAGAAGATTCTGGAGAGCCCCTTGGACTGCATGGAGATTAAACCAGCCCATCCTAAAGGAAATCAACCCTGAATATTCATTGGAATGTCTGATGCTGAAGCTGAAGCTCCAATACTTTGGCCACTTGATGCAAAGAGCCAACTCATTGGAAAAGACCCTGATACTGGGAAAGACTGAAGGCAGGAAAAGGAGATGACAGAGGATAAGATGGTTGGATGGCATCACCAACTCAACGGACATGGGTTTGAGCAAACTCCGGGAGATCGTGAAGGACAGGGAAGGGTGGTGTGTGCAGTCCATGGGGTCGCAGAGTCGGACACAACTGACTGACTGAACAAAAGTTCTTAAAAGAGCTAACAAACCCCAACAGAAGAGGACTGCAAGGCCAGTTAACCAGGGAGAGGCGAATCCCAGTCTCCAGGGAAGTCATGCAGAAGTCATGTAACCTGCCCAAACTCTTGAATCATCCCAGGTTAAGGGTCAGGTTGGTTCTTTCCCCACCTTGGCCCCAACGTCCCTTCTGCTCATCCTGCTTTTTCACAACCCTTGAAATAAGTAAAACTATTCTTAGCCTGAGGCACTTTCCTGACCCTAAAAGATATCAAGCAGTACCTAAGGCAGCCGCAGCACCCCGCTGGGTGGTCTGAGCAGATCCACCACTACAGATGTCCAGCTGTTCCTTTCTTCACCAACTGTAGATTTTCAAAAGCTGATCAGGAAATAACTAATATGAAAAAGCAAAAGATCTTACAAGACTTCCAAGGGCAGTCGAGTAGTTGTTAATAGCACAGGTTGTGAAGTGAGACACACCAAGGACAAGTGTCCTGGCTCCACTACCTAGGACACCTGTGACCTTGGGCAAGCCAACAGTCCTCATTAGCATCCCAGGGTTGTTACGTAACTGTGCACAGCACTCAGTAAGGGCAGGGATTTAAAAGCAAAGGGCAAATGGTAAACAGTAAAAGTCTTCCCAGGTGGCACTAATGGTAAAGAACCCACCAGCCAATGCCAAGAAACACGGGTTTGCTCCCTGTACCGGAAAGATCCCCTGGAGGAGAAATGGCAACCCACTCCAGTATTCTTGCCTGGAGAATCCCATGGACAGAGGAGTCTGGAGAGTTACAGTCCATGGGGTGGCAAAGAGTTAAGACATGACTGAAGCGATTCAGCACACACACAATCAATGAGTAAGAAAATTAATCAATTCCCCATGAAAAAAATCTTTGCAGTGAGCTTTAAAACACAAAAGCACCTCTGGATATCTGTAAAAGATGGCGTAACCATTCATTAGACCACAATATAAAAAATTCAGCTTCAAGAAAATAACTTTTTTTGACTTCTAAATCAAATTACAATGTGGATACACTTACATGCAATGCAACTAGCAAATGAAATGAAAACAGGTTACAGCACTAGGTGCTGCTCAAGAAGTGACTTGCCTTTGTGAAATGGAGTATCTACTGCCATATCTAGAAAGGAGGTCACAGCCATCTGTGATTCAGGCCCTCCACATGTTCATTTCTGAGCCCAAAGGACCCGAAAAGGGAGAACGATGCCCCCAGATAGCTGAGACGCATATGAAAGGAATGAGTTCAGTGAGCCCAGATGCTTGCATCTTCCCATACAGAGAAGAGCGCTAAACATGACAGCTGCTTTTCCTTAATTAACAGTAATCTTTGATGTTCAGACTACCTGCCTTTCTTTGGTACAAACTTCTGTATAACCTGACTCCTTCCCCCATGGCCTCCTTGGAGCAGTTTCTCAGGGCTACTTGAGAGGCTGCCTCCCAGGCTTGAAGTTCTAAAAATTCCCACCCAATAAAACCACTCTCTGCTTTCAGGTTGTAACTATTTTTAGTTGACACTTTTCATTCCCATCAAGTTTCTTAACTCTTTAATCTCCCCTTTTCTTTTTAAGAAGAAAAACTGAAACATGAGAAATGCTTACTGAGTCCATCTGTTTCCAAAATAGAACACATATACCAAAATAGAACATATATAAACAAAGGCCATACTGCATACCAAAGGTAAAACAAATACTTTTATTGCACATTTATAAAATCTGCATAGTTGTAGCAAGTCTTTGACCCTCCCACAATTCCCCTGGCAATCTTTAAAATTTGGTTAAAACATAATACCCAATCTGGAGCCTTTTAAAAATGGTCAATGGGATATTTCTCTCTCTACATATACATATATATATATTCTTTTTCTTTTTACAAACCCACATCCCCTATTTTTTAAAAGGAAAAAAGGGGGCGGGGCATTGAAATGTTCTTCTGGACCAGCAGGAGCCTTAGCCATGCGTTTTAGCCATTTTCAGATGCTAGAAAATTTTACCTTTAAATAGTTTACAACATTGAAAATGTGATCTTTAGTCAAGTTTCACAATGCTGCTATTCCATCTGATGTCCTTAATGCTTTCTCCCTTCTTTCACTCAGGACTGAGTATGAGGTTTTCCGGTTTATTTAAAAATATAAAATAAAATAGAAGAAAGAAAGGAGAGGCAGCTTTCCTTTGACTTTTCAGCATCTTACTGCCACATGACCTTATGTTCTACCCACATGTGAAAGGGTGGCGGCTCATCAACAACCTATTTTTTCATCTCCTGTCAAGAGCCAGGCAACAACCCATTTTTTCATCTCCTCCCTTGCAGTTAAATTTTTTTTAATGTCATCTGTATCTGATAAAATAACGAGTAGCTGTTCATACAGTTCAGGTCCTGATGAATCACCCTTCTAGTCTGCTGTCAAAAATACTTATGCCTGAAGGATACTCTGAGGCTCAGAAAAGCCCAGGCTGTCTTGTAGGGACAAGAGACATTTCAGGGCTTCTGCCACAAATCAACGCTTTAATACACTGGTTCCTGACTTTTTTTCGTGAAATCACTTCTATGATTCTGTACCTAAAAAGTGCAGTTTTATTTTCAATCCTTCTTTACACACACAGCATAGTTAGGATCTGGATCTGAGTCTCACTTTCCCACCTAATCCCTTTCATAGGGTATAAACACTGTGACAACAGACTTCTGTGCAACAGACGATCAACCAAAGACCAGGCTGGGTCTTGAACACGTGGGGGCTTATTTCACTGTCACAGTTGACACTCCTTGAATTGACTCCATGACAGCTGCAAATCGGCTACAAAGGTCATAGGGAGAATTGGGCCGAATAGTTGGAGGCTCCTTTAAGACAATGATTTCTGCAGAAGGATCTAGAAGTCTGGGTAGAAATTCCCCTAAGCACAGCTGCAGATTTTCTGTGGAGGGAAAATGGATGGTTACTATACAGCTAAATAAATCTCTTGAGTTAAAACTAGTACGTCTGTAACAATCTCCAAGTTCAAAGCATTGTTCTGGCCAGCTAATGAAAAATGGCGATTCCTTTAGACCAAATCAAGCGCAAAGACCTATCTGCCGACTACAGCAAAGTTTTAGGTCATTGTTTTAAGTCATCTGACATGCGCCAGGATAACACTATATACTCACTGCATTATGGACATGTCTTTTAATCAATCATCCTTTAAAATTTGAGAAAGTGCCATAAATATAATGTGCTGTAAACATACTACTGCCATAAAGCTAACACTGGTCTTATCCTTCAATTAAAATATACCAGTGTGTACATGGCATTAAGTAAAGCTATAACGTCACACATAGTTTAAACAAAAACTGAAAACATTAAAATGAAATTCTTAGCTACTAATTATTATAGATTTTCAAATATATCATAAACTTGAACACTTTGACAAATCAACAGAATATCTTTACATCAGTAAGCAACAAAGAGGCTTCATATTAGGATACATAACAATTTTCTAAGTCAACCAAACTCGCCTAAAAATATCTAGTTTTAAGCTCCCTCTCCAAAATGCTTTGGACAGGCACAAACATCCCCTTTACTAATTTATTAACCTTGAAGGCATCATAGTTAATAAAATGTTTATGTCTTGCAACTTCAAGTCATACGAAAATTTAATTATGGCACCGACAGGTAACCAAGCAGCAAAAACAGATTTTTTTAATATTTAAACTACAAACTTCAAGTTCAGATTTTGGCAGATGGAAAAGTAACAGCAGTCTAACATTGCTGGAGAGCAGTGATTTTTTTCTCAAATAGCGCTGTGTGGCCGGCTGTGGAGGTGATTCAGCCATCAGAGGAGATAGGGGAGGCTAAGGACAGGGGTTCAGATAAGATAAGGGAGGCTAAGGACAGGGGTTCAGGGTCCCCTTTCTTGTTTCAGCACAGCAGGTACACTTGCATGCATTTATATGCTAAGGGATTCCAATCCCTTAAAAAGGTGTGACAACCAGTGCTGCAGAGTGAGTCCACTGTCATTTCCAGAACTCGCAAGGGTCTCAGAAATCACTGGCAACGGCAACAAACACCACACCTGCGATATCCTGCCCCAGGTAAGAGCACCAGTGGTTTCTCATGACCTCAATGGCATCCAGGTCATCCTTGGAGATGTCGTTATTAATGATAAGGTGAATGCAGGGAATGATCAACTCATTCATCACATTAATGCCCTCTGTTACAGAGTGCTCATCGTTTGTTTCAAAGAGAGAAGCTGCTTTGGCATTCAGTTCCTATGGATAAAAACAATGGGAAAAAAAAGTCTCAAAAAATATTTAAACAAGTAGTTACCAAACTTCACTGTACATTGTAATTGCCTGGGGATCCTTAAAAACCACAGATGCCCCAACCCACTCATGCCAATTTGATTGGTATTTGGCTGACCTAGACACTGGGATTTTTTTTATTTTTTAATGCCCCCAAGGTGATCTGAATGTGGCAAAGCCTCTGACCAAGTGGCCTAAACTTATAAGTCAAGGTCATATTTAACATCAACTTCTATCAAAAGATTCTATGGTTCTCACTCTTCACCAAAAATCAAAAATCACCTGCAGAAGATAAGGTGATGCCCAGGCCCCTCACCAGGAGACTGGTTTAACCGTCTGGGAGAGGCCTGGGCCACCAACATGTGAAAGCCCCTTAGGTGATTCTGACACACACCGGGAGTTGAGAGCCAGAGGCGGAAAGAAGCCAAATCCTTATTAGTGCCTTTCCGTGGCAGCTGAGCAGGACATTCAAAACATAATCTCTATTTGGTGATTTAAAAAATAAAAGCATCTGCGGTCCATCAAATCTACAAGGCTCCCTTTTCAGCTTCAAAGTGCCCTGCCATATCTACAACTGACATAGGAATCCAAGTATAATCAGAAAATGAAGTTTCTGAGATACACACATGTCACAACTTAATCTCCATTTGGCATTAACAAAAGGTAGTGGCAGAAATGCGGGCCTCACTCCTGGTGGAGGGTGATCCTGCTGGGTGGCAGGAGGCCCAAGGCAAGCTTAGCCTGAGGTTAAGCCACCTCTGCGGCTTTCTGAAGGACAAGCACCTGGAAGGAGCCCGGGGAGGCGGACAGACCATGGGGTGCCTGCCCACGCAGCCACCAAGCGCAAAACGACCGGGCGAGATCACCTGTGGTTCATGGCAAGGATGTTAACGGGATGGCAGGACCAGTCCTTACAGTTCAAAGCTTTTAAAAACTGGACTCTCTTTAGACATCATGAAAGCTTCTCATCTACTAGCTTACTACTTAGGGAACATAGAAAACACATGTTTACTAGATGCTTTCTATGTGCCAGGCACAGAGAACAAGGCTAAGAAGAGGATCTATGCTCAAGGAACTCACAATCTAGCAGAGAGGTGTGTGACATAAGCTGTAATGCAGCACACACAAAAGGCACCAGAAAGCGGAGATGCGGTTCTCATCCAACTTCTATCAGGGCGGAAGAAGAATGATGTTCACTGAAGTAACTTCATCTGTTTCAATGTAAAACTACTCTTGAGGGTTTAGAACAATCTAAAACCTGCAGGAGGGTTTTTTTTTAATGTTGTATTTCTTCCTGGCTTCTAGGAACAGAGGTAAACACAATAAAAGACAAAAATCGTCAGGCTCTATAAAGAGTACACACCAGAAGGCATTTTCTTCGGTACAAAGCGATCACCGACTCCTTCACGCCCCGCTGGGGCCCCTTCATCAGCAGAGCGGCATTGCTTTGGTAGGCGTACACCAGGTAGGAAAGCGCCTCTTGGTACCTGAGAAAGTTATTGATGAAAACAGCTCAGTGCTCCTTCCGCAAACCCAGGGCTTAGTCCCCAGCACGCGCTAATACAAGAATGTAACCGGCTACAGGGATGGAAAAGTCTTAAGCATGGAGGCAGCACGGTGCAGGTGGAAAAGCCTGAGAGCCAAAGACCACAGGTAGCCTCAGCTCCTCTGCAAACTGGCCGAGAAGCTCAAGGCAAATCATGGCACTTCCCTGGACTGTTTCTCCCAACTCTACAACAAGGAAGTGGACGAGAGGCTCACTACAGCCCACACTGACTCTAAAATTCATTTTCTGAGTTCATTTTAATTTATCACAAAGAAAATTGGCCATTATATCTCTCGACCGAGAAATCTATCATTATACAAAAGATGAAGACACACGTTTGATGTTCAGTGCAAAAGTGAAGTAGAACACTGAAAAACGTAGAGACACAGGGTGTGTGTGGAAGGGGCTGTGGTCCTCGGAGATCCTGGTGGGCATCCACAACCAGTACGCTCGGTAACATGAGACGCCACTTACTTTCCTTTCTGATAGAGTTCCAGGCCTGTCAGGAGATACACAGACACCTTTCGGAACAAACTGTAATCTTCATGCCACTTCTGAAAAGGAATGACAGCCATTCATGATTATGACCAAAACTGCTTCTACCCTTTTCCCCACAGCAAGCTTCAAACTCAGTACTAATACTTACGGAGCTCATATGGCCCGGCACAAAAACAGGAGACACAAAAGCTTTCAGATAATAAAGTACTGGACATTTATGATAAAAGCCTACCGCTGACCTTAATTTTCCGTGTCCTGTTCCTGCTGCCGAGGAACAGAAATATTCATTTCACATGAGCTTTAGAATTTCGGATCTTAACTTCCAACACCCACGTCAAAGTCATTCAGCTCTGGTCTGAATGAATGGCCTCCCGCGTTCAGAGGAAACCATTCAGATGAGGGAAGACAGAAGGTCAAGGCCACTCCAATCTCAGGAACAACACTAAGCTTGCCTGGGGGGGGGTGGGGGCCAGGGGCGGCGAGTAGGGCATAGTGAGGTGGCACTCAACAGTGTCGTACCTACATGATGTGTTTCGTGTTTGGAAATTTGTAGTCATGCATTGCATTTTAATGCGTAAAAATTTTAGTCTTGAATACAGAAATATTAGAAAACTGTATATTATTTAAAGCAAACTAAAACCGTGAAATCACGAATTGTATTGCCTAGGACAAGGCTAAAGTGAGTATTTAAGGGAAATGAAGTGCTGATCAGTTGAAGAGAATAATGGAATAAAGAAACTGGCCATTCAAAGGGTAAGAAAAGATCATTCTGACTCAGTTTTTTTTGAGAGGGTGTGGGAGTCACTTGGCGATAATATAAAATTGTTTGCTTTATAGCTTATATATAAAATTTATTAATAATACTACAAGTTGTACAAATTGGATTATAAATATATTTGTGCATATGTATAATTTACTATACGAGGAGGAACATATTGGAGAAGGAAATGGCAACCCATTCCAGTATTCTTGCCTGGAGAATCCCATGGACAGAGGAGTCTGGCAGGCTACAGTCCATACGGTCAAAAAGAGTTGGACACAACTGAAGTGACTTAGCACGCACGAAAAGAACATATAAATGACAGCCTCAAATGTTTCAACAGCTTGGCCTCCTTACATTTTTATTTGTTTTTTGTTAGGGTTGCCTTAGAAATTAACATGTTTGGTTTGTAGATGTAAAGAGAAGACCTCACCTTGTACTCTTCCATATTCATGTCATCTGGACCAATCTCCTTCAGTTTTGCTTGAGCCACCTTCATAATACTGATCGACCTGTGGACAAAGTTAAGAAAGTAATGAGTTTCCCCTTCAGAGGACTTAGTCAAGATAGAAGGAAGGGTGGTTCACTGAAGCACTCCCTTCTCACCTTTCATCATAGCTAAGATTTTTATCAGCAAATTGTTCCAGAAGGGTCCGCTCTACTACCCTTTTAGGTGCTTCGTTTTGGAAGAAGTAGACAAGCACGTGCTGAAGACGAGGATCACTGTGAGAGGTGGGGGTCTCCTTGGCGAGCTGATAGAGCCTGGAGTACTCTTCATGGAATGCCTATTGAAGATAGAATTGGTAGTCAGAAAAGGGGGCATGGTGGGCTTGTACACATAGAAACCATTGCCTAAGGCCTAAGGAGGTTTTCATCACTCTAAAACAACTTCTAAGACGTTCTTATTGAGGAATAACAGAGGCAACTGGAACCTATAATCTCTTTGCCTTTCAAAAAGGACAAAACTCCTCCAGCACCAAAGACATCCTGTACTCACAAGAAAATAATTTTCCTCATACAGTGCTCAGAAAAACAAAAGTTTTAATTGTTTCAGGCATATCTTTGAGTATCAAGGATCTGAAATTTAAAAATCCAAATAAATGCAATTTCTTTAAGAATCTTAAATTTTATTCAAGCACCTTAAAAAGCATGGCCTACTTTCTTATATTATGGCCTCCAAATTACAAAGGCGAGGTCTCATTCACAGCTTTATTAACAGGCATCTCCTAAGAACAAAGAGGTTACCCCTGGCCAGGTGGGCCACAGAGTGCCAAGGCTGTGTTAGTGCCCCAAGGGGAGGAGCCGCCAGCGCCATGGAACGGCTGGGCTGTTAGTCGGGCAGCGAAGGGAGTTTTATGTTTTACCTCAATGAAAAACACTCTTTTAGCATCTGATATGATCACTGCCCCATGATTATGATCCCTGTGGTACAAGGATTAGGATTTAATCCTAATTCTAATTAAATTTAAAAAACAAGACAAAAACAGAGATACCTTAATAAGCCCTGCTTCAGACCCATCTCGGTCAAAGGTCTGACGGGCTTTAGCTATGGCCAGGATGACCCCTTGCATGGCAGGGCTCAGCATCACCTACCACAAGAGGGCACAAAACACAGAGAGAAAGCAGAGAAGAAAGGTTCAGAAGAAGACTGTGAGGGAAGGGTGAGCAGACTGCCGCAGGGAAGCAGAGCGGCGTGCCCCCTGGCCAGCAGCCACCGCGGGGGCAGGCTCACACGCCCCGTTCAACACTAGCAGCCCCTGGCCCTCTGCACGACAAGACTGTGCCCATGACAATCTACCCCTAGACTCTAATCTGGCAGATGAGTAAAGGTGTATGTCTAAAAATACCTACGATACGGCACTGCTACACAATCAAGGTAAATTATAGCTCTCAGAGGGGAAAGGTCTGAGGTGAGAATACCAATTGCGTTCTGAGGTTTGGGTGTCCATCCTAAATACACCAGTCTATGAGTTTTACCTGGGTGAACAGCACATTTCAAACAGTCTGAAACTAGCAGGTACACAAATAGGACCTTATAAAGTGAAAACCTTGCAGTGATTAAAAAAAATAACCATCCCACAGAAACCTGAGGACAGGATTCATGCCTGTTAGTGTGTGGGGACAACTGCAAAGGAGGCAGACAGCAAACAACCGGGAAGTCTATAGCTTCAGAGTTAAAACAAGGTCAACGCACATATGACCTGCTCACTAGACAACTGAAATTTTCATATTTGGAGGAAATGCAATGGACTGATATTACCAAAGACTCCTAATTTAAAGGGCAATCTTTTGTTCAGGATATGACACATGGAACTAAATTCTACCTTTCTGAGCCACTGCCTCGTAAGGGCAGGTCTGAGTACAGACCTGCTGGCAGCAGTGTAGGATGGTGACTAAGGCCCTCTCGCCCACCTCCTGTGTCAAGGAGAAAATACTGTTGCCGAACACCTTACACAGCTATACTCAGTCACGTGAGAAGGAAATACAAGACTGACAACAGACAGCTAGACCCTGACTCATCTCTGTACCTCCTCATCATATCCATCTGCATCAGATCTAACCAGAATCCTTCCCACACTGGGGATCTCGACTTCAGAGACCTCAGCGTTAGGCGGGGCAGCAGACTCTGCGTCGCGAGCCTGTGGGGGCTGCTCTGCCTGCTCTGCAAGCTCTGTTTCCGGGGGCATGGGCTTCTTGGGCTCAGCTTCCTTAAGCTGTGGCAGCAGAATGGAGAGAAAGAGTAAGAAAAAAACAGAAATAAAGAGGGGTTGGTTAAACGCAGCAGATACAGAATAACAGAAATGTGAGAAAACTGCGGCACTTACTGCCGGAAGCCCACCCCTCTGGCTTCCGGACTTCCAGGCCCCCTCACCTCACTCAGGGCAGCTTCCACGCCACTGTTCTCATAGGCATGTGCCGTGTTTGCAATCGCCTGGGCAGTCTGCTCCTTCACGATCACAGCATGCTCGGAGGACAGGCATCGAGCCCCGTGGGAAGAGGCCACTGAAGACTCTGAGAAACAACAGCAGGGAGGAATCAGCATCTGGTAATAAAACCACTAGAATACTCTACAAGGCAAGCAGGACTGGATACAAAGTTTAATGTGCACACCTTCTAACTAACCTTTTGAAAAAATTACATAAATTTCCCCTGCAAACTAGTGGCTAAAAGAAATAGCTACTTTAGCAAGGAGTCACTGATGATTCTGTAAAGTTTAATGTGCTCCCAATGTTGTCATATTTCTTCATGGCAAAAGGTTCCTATAAACAACTATCCGTTAGGAAGATCACCTTTACAGAATAGTTTTCATAAAATCTACCTATTAATCTTACCATAGTTTGTCCTGCAACCTTGGAAATAAGCTAGCACTAAATATAGTGAAAGTACAGGTAGCTAGCTGCTAATCTTTCTGCTGTTGGTTCTGCCCAGCAGATATGACTGTCAGCCACAAGCTAGGCTGTCAGGTTGTGCGACACCAACTCTAGTTCCACTGTGCAGAGCGTGGCATGGCTCACTCAGAGGAAGTGCATGGGGCTGGCTATGGGAGTGCAGCGTGAACTCCCCCAAGTCACTGGCATAAATGCCCTGCTCAGATACCTTGTGATGGAGAGAAGTCCTGTGATGCTGAGCTGGTGGAAGATTCCATCTGAGGAATTTTGCAAGACTGCTCTTCTTCCCATTCCTCCACTTCCTGCTCAAACCTCCAGTTATCTTCCTGAATGTAATGCTTAAGTTCAACAGAAAGGGCTTCCACTTCTCCTGACATCTGATCTAATTCATTTGGGGCCGCCTCTGAGGAAGAATAAAGACACAGTTAAAACAGTCCCACCAAGCAAAAGGTCTCAAGGAAACCAAAGCTCCTTTCCAGAAAGAAAGTAAGACACTTTGTCTTTTTTCTTACTTTTAATGAAAAATACACACCTAATCCATCCACTGTCTGAAGTACTGACAATATCAGGCCAATAGTCACGGTACCCCAGTAACAGTGGCTGGCATATTGGAAGGGAGGGACACTGAATATTTGTTAAATCAATCAATCAATGGTAATAAGTGAGGATTTGGAGTAGAGGTCAATCACAGACAAAGTAGCAAGAACAAACCAAATATTTCTTGGGAATTCAGAAAATCATTAGATTCAGTGGAAATTTCAAGATAAACAGTTTTATCAGTGTAAACAATGCCCCTATTACTGATAAGAATATCCATCTCCAGGACTTCCCTGGTGGTCCAGTGGTTGGGACTCTGAGCTTCCACTGTAGGAGATGTGGGTTTGATCCCTGGTCAGGGAAATAAGATCCCACAAGCAATATAGTGTGGTCAAAAAATAATAATAATAAATTGAATTAAATAACAAAGTATATCCATCTCAAGATGGCTGAAAATGAAAACCAAGACGTTTATACTGCCTTAAGTTTCACATAATCAAGTGCTACCACAAAGCAAAGGGATACAAAGGTTAGATCAATAGGTCACTAATACCTGGGGTTCACTAAAGGCTATGATGAAAAATGACAAGGCTATCAATGACATATTCAATCTCATTTCCAACCCTACAACCGAAACAAATCATAAAACCCTACAGCAGAGTAGCACATCCACATACTGGTTGCTGTTAACCAGCCTTTTCATTAAACGACAGTTCTCACTTTTGTCTATTTCTATAGATGAGCCACACCCGTTATAACAAGGCCCCTGTATGCCACCCACAGCCAGCACAATCGTTTGTACAGAAACTCCCACGAGCAGCTGTTCCTGCCCTCACACTGCAAACATGCAATTAGGACGATCAGTTACTGTGAAGTGAGCATTCTCTCCATCCCCTACCCACCAAGCACACGACAAAGACCACTTGCTGCCCAGACAAAATGCCTTATAGGTTTCCTTATGCAATACCGTGAAGTTTGAACACTAAAAGAAGACGCCTTCCGTGATCTCAGATGTGAAAGAAGAAAGAGTAATACACATGGAAAACAGCATAGAATCTGCAACCAGAGTATTTACTGGCTGTATGACAAGTACAGAACCTCAGCTGGAAAATGTGGGTGATAAGAATTTCTGCCCTGCCTCCTCTGTGTTAGAGTTAATAAGCTATTAGAGAAATAAAGCTTAAAGTATGCAGTAAGGAGGGAAGTACCAGCATAAATGATAATTATGATTATCGTTAGCATTAGTAGCAGTATTATGAGAAGTCTGAAACCGCTGAGGCAAATCCATTTATAAAACCTAGCTCTTCTCCAAAAAGTGCAAAAAATACGTGCATAGGAGTATCACTAAAAAAGGGGAAAACTAGAGGCAACTTAAAAGTCTATCAACAGGAGGCTAGTTTAATAAATTATATACATATCCCATGCAATGGAATTATTTTACAGTTGTTAATAGGAATAAGTTGGTTCTATTTATAAAAATAGAGAGATTGCTAAGAAAAACAATGAAAAAGATGCCAAACAGAATGGAAAAATATCCCATTTGGTGGGGAAAAAAATGAGGTATAGGTGAGATATCAATAAATAAAACCTAGCATCTGCACAGAACATTTCTAGAAGACTACATTAGGAGCCTAAGAATGAATGCTTGTTGGACTCAAGGAAGTAGGAAAGCAAACTTATTTTTCTTTTTTCTTCTCTTTTATACTATTTGTATTTCTTAAACACATCATTCAGTTCAGTTCAGTTGCTCAGTCACGTCTGACTCTTTGCGACCCCATGAATCACAGCACGCCAGGCCTCCCTGCCCATCACCAACTCCTGGAGTTTACCGAAACTCATGTCCATCTAATAAATCCAAGTTTTTTTTTTTTAAACTACAAGATTGTTCCCTTCCCTGAGAAGTACAAAGTCTCTGCAAGCCTGGCCTCTGCTCATAGTGTTTTTACCTGCACTGAAGTGGGGCAGCTTGTCATTAATGTACATCAGGCAGTACGCACTAACGTTTCTCTGGCCCCCGTAGGAATCTCGCTCAAGTTCCTCCCAGGAGGACTCGGTAACAGAGATGTCGTTGTACTTGAGCCAGACTTGCCGCGGCTGATTGTATACGTAGGCCCAGTAGTGTCCCGCGTTTGCCTGTCCTTCGTGAACCAGCACTGCATGCAAGCGATAAGGCACCTGCAAGTCAGAGAGCATTCCCCGTGTCAGCTTAAAGCAAATTAGCTGACAGGGGTTGAGGCGACGAAAATTCCAAAGGATGCCCAACCATAAGACGTAAGACAACTGCCCGTTAACACGTGTGTTTGATGTAGGGTTCACATCAACAAAACATCTTGTTGATTCAAGATGCATTAAAAACAACACAGCCTTGGAATCTCCCATTCCTGAAGCTTTAAAATCAGACAGTTAAACCAGATGATTCTCTTTAACTCTAACTCCTATGATTATAGATCTAAAACAAAAAATAACTGAGACCTATTTATTCCCCCAGTTCCAAACTCAGTCGTATCTAAAAACAGAAGCACCATGACCACTCATGTTGAGAAGATGCTTACCACACCTGGGGCCTTTAGCAGTTATGCTGCTCTATGACTGTTTTATTAACTAAAATTAATAAATGTTCTATTAACTAAAATCTAAGTTAACTTATTTCATTATGAATCAGTCATATATTTCATTATGAATCAGTCTTTATATTTCTTCTTGCAGGTAATCATCCACTTATCTGAGATGAAGACCCTTTTAACTACCTACTTGTTTGTTTCAAAATGTGAAATGCTTCCCCCCCGCCCCCACCCCACCATCCCTACTGGCAATATGCAGAAAATAAAAGTAATGCTTAAGTGCCAAGTTAAGTATTGGTGAAAGAAAGGCAAGTCAGTAAAGTAAAATTACATTTAATCAGTACCTTGACATGTTTTTACTGGTGGTAAATTTTTTTAAAAAATAGAAAAGAGAAAATGGTCAACACCCAAGATTCACATGGTGCATTCTTGCTATGCAACACAACTAGGGTTTCCCGTGACCCTAGAAACAGGGCTCCCCTCCCAGAGTCATTCATTTACACAGAAGCCAGTGGAGGGCAGTCCCCTAACTGCAGCCTCTTTCCCGTCAATGCCCAGAATGTTATTTTAAACAAAAACATATGTGGAAAGTAAGAATTTCTGCCCTGCCTACCTCTCTTTTGGAGTTACTAGAGACATAAAGGTTAAAAATCACACTGCTAAACAAAGAATCATGAAGGATCATGGTACTTTGGAAAGGATGGGGAACCAGTCCCTGGTCAGGTTTCCTTCACTGTACTGCTTCATTACCATTTTATGAGAAATTTTATTAATATTTAACAACACATGGAAAAGATACCATGTGGTAGACTTGAGACAAATATGTTTTACGTCCTGTTGGTGGTAGAAGGAAGATACACTACTCTTTTTAGCCTAAAATATAGAACAATACATATTTCTTTCGAAAATTAACTTTTATGTCCTAGGGAAGTTTCCACTCAGTTTCAAAGAAAACCATTAACTTCTCTGCATCTGCCCATTAGCACCATTAGAACATGCCTTGACTACTTCCCCATCAATTTGCATTCTACCTGACGGAGGAGAGGATCACAGTACATCTGCTCAATAGTCTGGGTAGTGCTTGCAATACAGTTCTTTAAGTCTGTTAAAAAAGAACACTCAGTTATAATGATTTCACCCCACGTCACACAGGCAGCTCTAGCTCTGCAAAGACTACAGCGTCTCTGTACCTGAGGTTTTCACCCTTTCAACTTCTCTCTATGAACCATAAGGAAGCATGCAGTTTTAAAGCAGCTAGTGCTTTAGGTTACAAAAGCTTCTAGTTTAATGTAACTACATTAAGATTTCCAAAAAAAAAAAATCATGTCTTATAATTGGCACCAAAATTTCTTAGGAAACAGTCTCTAAAAACAGACTTTAAGGGTCACTCGGGTGTAAACTACATGTGCCAGAGACACCTGGAAAGGGAAGGCAAAGCAACAGGCAGGGCCAGACTTCTGCCAGTAAGAACCTGGGAGGAATCTAGATTTGCATAATTTACTTATTTATTGCTCTCTAGACAAAAGGAGAAAGGAGGGGAAGACGAGAAACAAGACAAGGCCATAGGATTTTAGGAACAAAATGCTGAATAATGTGATTTTACAGTGCAAGCATTACTCAGATATTCTTTGCCTCCTTAACTGTCAATAAAGCACACTGTATGTAGAAAAAACTTTAAAAGTGGAAATTCAGGAAACTGAAATTCTAAGTTTGGGTCAGCTGAAGTCAGAGTTCAGATAAACTACAGGAAAGGAAATCCAGCAGACACAGAAAATTCTCTAAGGTGAGTGGCATTCCTGGTATCCAAGATACCCAGGAATTCCCAGAAAATTTGAGGAGGGAATCTAGGGAAGAACTTTTCATGGTTGTATTACTAAAGCAAAGTATCTGACCTAATCTCACAGGGAACAAAAGTACCAAAGAGGTCACAGTTCCTCAAATTCAACAGCATACATGGCAATGACAGGATGTGTCTCCAGGGTGCCTAATTCCCACGTGTTCACACAAACAGAAAAGGCAGAGAGTAACCGGCTGACAAGCAGAAAAAGCCAACCTTGTATGTCCTGTTCAATCTCGCTCCTCCACCTCTGCAGGCACGTCTTAACAAAGCTGATCTCCTCTTCTGTGACCGTTCGAGGAGCTGGGTGTGCGGGCATCTCCACGGAAGAACGGGGGGGTGCAGGTGGCTGCTCTGCCACCTTAGACTTGTGCGCAGAATCTTCAGAGGAAGAAAAGGTTCCTTCAGCTTCCTGAGACGTGCTGTCTTTACTTGCACTGAAGGAAGATTAAGAAAAAAAAAATGCTCAGATTTTAATTTCTAAACTATGCATCTGTGCTCAGTCGCTAAATCATGTCCGACTCTTTGGGACCTCATGGACTGTAGCTCTGGAGGAGGGGCATGGCAACCTACTCCAGTATTCTTGCCCGGAGCATCACATGGACAGAGGAGCCTGGCAGGCTACAGTCTATATGGTTGCAAAGAATTGGTCAGATATGACTGAAGCAACTTAGCATACATGCATGGACTGTAGCCTGCCTGGCTCCTCTGTCCACGGGGTTTCCCAGGCAAGAATACAGGAGCAGGTTGCCATTTTCTCCTCCATTTCCAAAATACGTCTTTGCCTAAATTAGTGCACTCTGTAAAACAAGCTGCTCTGTGGGAAAGCACAGTCACAATTTAGTGAGTGTTTACTCTGTAAAGTTACTGAGCCAAACCTTCCCTTTACAGGCATCATCTCACTTAACACAGCTTGTTGATGAGGCAGGTACTATCACCATGCCTATTTTACCAACTTTCAAATCTAAGATTCAGAGAAATAAGGCAGTGTTCCCAGGTTCACCCAGCTAGTGAAGGACAGGGAAGGATTACGCTCAAATCTGCCTGAGTTTACAAGTCTAGGTCACCTGCTCTCTAACCACTTGTAACAATGAACCTTCTTCTCAAGAAGAAAGGATGAGAAGGAACATGGAAAAGAGATGGGGAGTAGTCAAGGGATAGACTATTGTGTTTCTAAGATGTAACTGACCAAAGTGAGATGGACAGGTGGATCCAGGAACAAAATACACAGAAGAAAAATATCAGCTGTATACCCAACATGCAGGAATGCAAACTAGGTGGCACTCTGGGAGAGCACCGGGTGAGAACTTACTGGCAGACAACTCCAGCTCCACCACATCTCAGCTAAACACCCAAGGAGACGGTGGTAACCTCGAGTAAGGAATCTAGCACTTCAGCTCTAAGAGGTGGATGTCAACCCCTTTACATCACTGTCATAAACTGAGAAGAAAGTATGTAAAGTAACTGTTAACTTATCTACTAATTAACTACCGCCAAAAAAACTGCACATAGACAAATCAGCAGGAATATACATGAATCTAACTGTACTGAGGCTTCTGTTTCACACCAAAACTCAAGAACATAAACTTCACAGTTCTCACTTAAACTCTCACTCCCCTTCCTACCTGCCTCTCTCTCATAAACAAAATAAAGGAGCAAACCTCTTTTCCCTGAGGACCCATACATATAGGAAAACAAGGCCAATGTAAGCAAGAGAGGAGATGCCTCAATCTCAAAAAAGATTACACATACACAGAGCAACTTCAAAATCTAATATCAGTCAGTACTATTTCATATTATTAAACAAATAAAACCACTTTTTAAAAATTAAAATAATTTATATTTTACAAAGGACATGAGAACATTCTACAAAAACCCAAACAGACACAGGTAGATAAGAGTTTAAAGTAAAGGAACCCTCCCTCCACACCGTGCCTCGCGCCATCCCCTAGAGATAACCGCTATCACCGTTCGGTATGTTCTATCCAAATAGGCACTCTGCACACACATGAATGAATGAATAGTAATACATGTGTGTGTGGGAGGGGCAGCGAAGGAATGACTGGGTTTCTTTTAACAACATAAAAAAGTCTAAACTCTTCTATAGGCTCTAGTGTTTCTGTTAGCCAGGACCCACGGATCACATTTGATCCGCGCCGGCCCCAGTGGCTCCTCCAGACCACAAAGGCTGCTGCACACAGTTGAGCTAGAAAAGAATCAAGGGGTCATGTGACAAGGCCTCTCTGTCTCTGCTGGATAAGCCGCTGTAGGCTGTCCTCTTCAATTTCTAGCCAGTTCTTTCTTTTATTTTAATTTTCTACTTGTAAATAAGTTTCCCTTTGCTTGGTGTTTACTCAGTCGTGCAGACTCCTTCAGCAGACGAGTGAATGTCATGTTTTAGAAAACCAGCGGCTGAGTTTTCCTCTGGGAAAGGCCTTCCATGGCAGTTAGCTTACAGCAACCTCCGAGCCAGGTGGGCCTGGCGGAGAACGAACACTGTTCCAGACAGTTCAAGACACCTCTGTAATAATCCCAACTATCCCTTGGGTGAGATGAATGCATGGGTGGGAATTACGAACGATTTACTTAAGTGGCAAAACCCGTCCCTGTAAGACAAAGAGCTCATGGCCCATGAGCTCTCACCGGGCGAGTGTTCATCAGGAGGAAACAAGGCACACAGCTCAGGTTAAGCCCAAAACCCCAATATATACTATTTTAAAAACTTGTTTCTGTTACCTTTCCTTGGATGTCAGGTCAGAAGTCAGGCAGTGTGCTGAAGAAAGTGGTTCTGTCATGCATGCATCACTTTGAGACACAGAGCTCTCTGAGGCAGGTTTTGTACTGGCAAATTCAATTACGTATTTCAACATGTCCGGAAGCGGGAACCGGGCTGGGCCCGAGCCGTATTTCACATACCTACGAGGCAGATAAAATGGTACTCTAGTGCCAAGGCATCTTGTACTTTCAGGCTCGCTGTGTTATTATATGGAGAGTCAATGGAAAGGCTTATCCCTAAAGGCTATACAATATTTAATACATTAATCTACAGAGCAAACGTTTTCTAACTACAAAAGAGAAAACTGACAAAAGTCTGAATCTCTACACTTGACAGAAAGCATTTCAGATGGGCTCCTATTCAAAGTCACACCAGTGGTGTGATTCAAATCAGTTAGGCTCTACTCATAAAAGTAAACTCTAATAAAAAAAAAAAAGTAAACTCTGTTTTTTAAAGGAAGAGAGATATCATTACTCAAATCTGAAAATAATGCTGGTGAACTATTAGGTTGGTACAAAAGTAATTGCAGTTTTGCGCTGCTGAAATTCGCCATTTGATGTTGGAATATATTCTTAAATAAACATGGTTATGTTATACATTTTAATGTACATTTCTTGCTTCATTTTTTTTGCTAATGGCTTATTACTTGCTGTTTATTTTATATGTGTTTTAGACTATGGAAATGATGTTAGTCAGAAAGCAATTTCATGCGATTTTCTTATTTGAGTTCAAAATGGGTCATAAAGCAGCTAAGACAACTCACAACATCAACAATGCATTTGGCCCAGGAACTGCTAATGAATGTACAGTGCGGTGGTGGCTCTGGAAGTTTGGCAAAGGAGACTAGAGCCTGAAAGATGAAGAACATAGTGGCCAGCCACCAGAAGTTGACAGTGACCAAATGAGAGCTGATCCTCTTACGACTACAGGATAAGTTGCCCAAGAACTTAGTGTTGACCATTCTATGATTGTTTGGCATTTGAAGCAAATGAAAAAAGGTGAAAAAGCTCAGAAAGTGGGTGCACTCATGAGCTGACTGAAAATCAAAAAATGTGTCACTCTCAAGTGTCATCTTCTCTTATTCTGCACAACAAATCATTTCTTACGGCTTGCGATGGACAACAAAAAGTGGACTCTATATGACAACCAGCTCAGCGGCTGGACAGAATAGCAGCTGCAAAGCACTTCCCAAAGCCAGACTTGCTCCAAAAAAGGGCCTGGTCACTGTGTGGTGGTCTGCAGCCGGTCTGATCCACTGCAGCTTTCTGAGTCCCAGTGAAACCATTACATCTGAGAACTATGCTCAGCAAATGATGCGATGCACTGAAAACTGCAACGTCTGCAGCCAGCACCGGTCAACAGAATGGGCCCAATTCTTCTCCATGCCAATGCCCAACCAAACATCACACAAACAATGCTTCAAAGGCTCAACAAATTGGGCTACCAAGTTTTGCCTCATCTGCCATATTCACCTGACCTCTCTCCAACTGACTACGACTTCTTCAAGCGTCTCAACAACATTTTGCAAGGAAAACGCTTTTACAACCAGCAGGATGCAGAAAATGCTTTCCAAGAGTTCGTCAAATCCCAAGGCACAGATTTTTATGCTACAGGAATAAGCATGCTTTTTTCTCCTTGGCAAAAATGTGTTGACTGTAATGGTTCCTACTTTGATTAATAAAGATGTGTTCAAGCCTAGTTATACTGATTTAAAATTCAGGGTCTGAAGCCACAAATACTTTTGTACCAATCTAATGTACCCAAGGTTTTTTTTTCTTTGCTGCCTTTTAAATAAAGTAATCTGCAATTAGGAAAAATGAGAGAGAAAGCTGGAAATGGGAAGTAGGTGTTGACAAAGGTCAGAGATTAAGTCCTATGTACACTATGATTCACGTACTCATTTAACAGTGCAGGCCATGCATAGATTACTGAAGATTTCATTGGAATCAGTAAATAATAAATGTCTTCAATATGTAATCAAAATAACCAATTATTTTAGTAATACCCAATGTTCTGCCACTACTAGCACATGCTACACTAAGAAAAGAGATTTACTTTAGTGAATTCTACAGTTCATTGCAGTAGAGAGTCTAAATGGTACATAAGTTGACTCACTGGTACAGGTAAACTATAATTCTGGGATTCCATTTACAAAAGGAGAGAGTCACTTCACATTTTTCTTCTCTGAATAAAGTGAAAGAAACAGTCACAGAACTAGGGAGAAGGAAAACTGTCTGTTTCTACATCAAAAAGTATACTATGAAGTGAAAAATAAAAAATAATGCAACTCAAAATCAACCACATATTAAAGAATATATAGCAAAGACACTTCATCTTCTCTAATTTAAAAGAGAAACAGAATGATTTCTCCTGTGGATTTGCCTGTCACACAGAGTTTTGGCTTTCAAAGAAAAGGATGTTAAATATATAAAGCTAGAGGAACGTTAAATAACTGTTTCTAGTCCTTAGATCTGTATCTTTGGCTTACTGTCAGCTATCAACTTATCTAAACTTGACTCATCTTTCAAGATCTATTTTCTCCAGGGTCTTCTTTTCAGTATGTCATTCCCTTTAACACGGAAGGAACATCTCCCATCTCTGAACTCCTTTTCTATCCCACAGACATGGTAAATGTCTTCTTAAGCACTGTTTGTTGAAAGAATTTATTAATACATGACTGCCTTGGACCAAAGGAAACATCTTTCTAGTAGCATTGCAGCACTGATAATCTGTCCTAAGATTTTAAGCTGTCATTTTACATCTGTAACTCTTCCCAGGTTTACATGTATTTTAACATTCTGCTGTATTTTAACATGATATTCATACAAAATTTCAGGAAAAAATTTTCTTGGAGAAACTTATCTTCAATTCTATGACACAATCATTTTCCTGTTCTTCTAATGAATTCCTTTAGGCCAACTACTTCATACAATGTATTAATTTAGCAGAATTAGAATGAAAGTGGTTTCAAAAAAGATATCTACACTGTACACAAGAAATCTTATTTTTAATATGATATCAAGGTGCTTTTACAGAAGAAATGGTGAACTTTTTTTTTTAATAATAAAAGTAATACATATACCTGGTAAGAAAACTCAAATTCAAAAAAGGATAAAACAAACCATAAAAGCCATCCATTCCCATCTCAGTTCTACTACCTAATGGTATCCATTAACAAGTTCTTTGCAAAGATTCCCAGAACTATGTCACACATAGACAAGCAATTTTTCAAAAATAATTACCCAAGTAATATTATCCAAAAATTTAAGTTAATTTTAAAAAGAAAGTCGTATTAACACTACAGAAAATACACCTGTATGCTATTTAAAATCTAAATAAGTCAGAACGCCTAGCTGGTTATTGCAAATTGAGTATTTTTCAGTCAAAATACATCAGATATACCAGGTATAGTGTATGAAAACAATTATAACTTTCTAATCTTATAAAGTATCACTCAAACTTTTAAAGTGAAACATTTCCATAGGTATAAAGTCCTGTAAATCACTTCCAAGAGTATCTGAAGACTCAGTCTCCAGCTTAAGTCCACATTAAGACAACAAGATGATGGATCACAACAACCCTCGGATGAATCCTTCCTAAGTGAGGGGGAGGGGCTGGAAGGGGCACCCACAGGTGCGGGGTCTTTCTCAGGCTGGTGTAGCGGGTTTTGCCTCTCAGGGAAATTACTGAGCTAGCAATGAAGTAGTCAGAGCTGGAGTAGCGGTAGCAGCAAAAATAGTAAGTAGACAGAGGCAAAAAAAAGCCACTGACATCGTATGGAATCTCCTTCCTAAAGACTAAATTAATGGTCTCTGACTAGACAGAAGTTACACTGATTCCTTCTTAGGAAGTCAAGGGTGACTTCACAAAAGCAGTCAGCAAGAACAGATGAACAACGATTTCTCCACAGGAGAAAGGACTTCGTATGTGTCAAAAATACAAGCCCTCTCTGAGTCAGCACTGCTGACCTGTTTTACCTTTACAAGGCACTTCAAAAACTGCTTTCTCAAGACAAAGGGATTAGAGTTTTGTGATAGTTACCTCTCCTATGTTTGTGAACAAGATGGCAAGGAGAGCAAAAAAAGTAAAGAGCTATGAAATCAGAACTTGGCTTTTCTTTAGTACACTGTCAATAACTCACCATGTGACTTGGGTCAAAGGTGTCCTGGGACCACTACTGCCCATCTTAAAGACTTTCACATTTTCCTTATCCATTTTATAAAATATACTTGTTAATACTTACTCTGAATTCATTTTTAGATAAAAGCAAATTATCCAATTTTAATACCCCATTCTAAGTACAAAGGTGTCTGTGACTCACCTTTCCAGTTTTTGCTGCAGAATTTTTATTTCTTCTTTGAGTTTTCGAATACACTCTCGCTTACTTCGAACAAGCTCTTTGCTCCTGTACATATACCTAAGCAAATAATAATCCCACAAACACAATTTATATTTAAAAACATTAATAACACAAAGTTTCAGCAAACTTTGGATACAAGGAAACTGCCTTAATCAGACACAGGGTTTGTTTTATGTTAGCTCTATGAAAATACAGAGCTAACATCATATTTAATGATGAAAGACTAAAAGTTTTCCCCCCTAAAGATCAGGAACAATCCAAGAAGGACCACTCTTGCCTATTCTATTCAATGTTTTTACTGGAGGCATAGTCAGTACAATAAGGTGAAAAAAAGAAATAGAAGTCATATAGATAGAAAGGAAGGAAGTGAAGTGAAACTGCCTTCATTTGTAGATAACAGGATCACTGTATGCAGGAAATCTCAAGGAATCTACAAAAATGTATCAGAACTAATAACTGAATTTATTAGTAATGCCAAAAGACACAAAATCAATTAAAAAAGAAAGAGAAAAAAAATCTACTGCATTTCTATATACCTGTAAAGGACAAATGAAAAGTAAATTTTTTTTCAAAGCCTTATAACATCAAAGGCAATAATTATTTAGGAATAAACAACCAGATATGTGCAAGAACTGTACACAAAAAATTGTAAATCACTGCTGAGAGAAATTAACAAAGAGTTGAATAAATGAACTCTTTAATATAAATATATAAATATTATGAATAAGTAAATAAATACCATGCTAATGGACTAAAGGACTAAAAATTGCTAAAATATCAGTTTCCCCAAATTGATCTATACATTCAACACAGTCCCAATCAGAATCCCAGTAGCTACCAGGGGTTTTGACAAGATGATTTTAATACTTAGATAGAAACGAATGAGAATAGCCAAAACATTTTTTTTTTTTTTAAAGAGTAACATAGTAGGAGATTTATACTATCTGATGTCAAAGTTTATAATAAAATCACAGTAGTTTAAAGACTGTGGTACTGGCATAAGATGACACAACAGATAGAATAAAACCTCTAGAAAAAGATCCACAAATGTAAGTCCAACTAATTTTTTAAAAAAGTATCAAGATAATTCAGTGGGGAAAAGGGAGCTGTTTAAACAAATGATGCTGAAATAACTGGATATCCACATGTCGCCTTACTGCCTCCTGCAAAAATATACCCTTACCTCATACCATATATGAAAATAAACTCTAAATGGTCATAGACATGAACATAAGAGTAAAGATTACAAAATTTCTAGAAAAAAATATCAAAGACCTTTGTGACCCTGGGTTGGAAGATTCCTTAATTAGAATACAAAAAGCACAAACTATGAAATGGCAAACTGATACATTAGACTTCATCAAAACTAAAAACTCCTGCTCTTCTAAAAACACTAGTAAAGAAATGGAAGAGACAAACAAAAATAGATTTAGATTCATACCCAAAATATATAAAGAACTCTTACAACTCAGTATGAACACAATCAACCAAACTAAAAAGTGGACAAAAGATACCTCCCCTAAGAAAATATACAAATGACCGTTAATTAAGCACACAACAAGATGCTTAGTGTCATTAGTTATCATGGAAATACAAGTCAAAAGAAAAATAAAGATCTTCCTATAAACCCAATGAACAGTGAAAATGAAAGTTGCTCCGTCATGTCCGACTCTGTGTGACCCCACGGACCAGCCCACCAGGCTCCTCTGTGCATGGAGTTCTCCACCCCAGAATACTGGAGTGGGTGCTGGCCATTCCCTTCTCCAGTGGATCTTCCCAACCCAGGGACTGAATCCAGATCTCGTGCATTGCAGGTGGATTCTTTACCATCTGAGCCACCAAGAAAAGCCCCAATAAACCCAACAGAATGGCTAAAATTTAAAAGACTGATAATTCCAGATAATGGTGAGGACTTAGAGCAAATGTAGCTTTCATACATGGCTGATAGGAACACAAAATTGTATAGCCACTTTAGAGAACAGTTTAGAAATTTCTTATAAAGTTAAAAACATACTTTTCATACAATAACCAGCAATCTCACTCCCGGGTATCTTACCCAGAAGCACTAAAAGCCACACCAAAACTTTTATGTGAAAATTCATATTCATAATAGCCTAAAACTGGATACATCTGAAATGTCCTTAAACTAGTTAATGGAAAAAATATTGTGGTAAATCCATACAATGTAATACTACTCAACAGTACTAAGAAAGAAATCACTGATATATGCAACAACATACATGAATTCCAAAAACATCATTCTAAGTGAAAGATGATGACCACAACAGGGTGCATAATGAATATTAATGTCCCTAATTATAACACTTTATAAATGACAAAACTAGAGGGCCAGAAAATAAGTGGTTGCCTGAGGGCACAGGGAAGGGACTGACTGTATTTTTTTTTTTTTAAACAATATTTTTTTTTTTTCATTTATTTTTATTAGTTGGAGGCTAATTACTTTACAACACTGCAGTGGTTTTTGTCATACATCGAAATGAATTAGCCATGGATTTACATGTATTCCCCATCCCGGTCCCCCCTCCCACCTCCCTCTCCACCCCATCCCTCTGGGTCTTCCCAGTGCACCAGACCCGAGCACTTGTCTCATGCATCCACCTGGGCTGGTGATCTGTTTCACCCTAGATATACATGTTTCGATGCTGTTCTCTTGAAACATCCCACCCTCGCCTTCTCCCACAGACTCCACAAGTCTGTTCTATACATCTGAGTCTCTTTTTCTGTTTTGCATATAGGGTTATCGTTACCATCTTTCTAAATTCCATATATATGTTAGTATACTGTAATGGTCTTTATCTTTCTGGCTTACTTCGCTCTGTATAATGGGCTCCAGTTTCACCCGGGACCGACTGTAAAGGGGCATGGTGATGGAAATATTCTGTATATTGACTGTGGTAGTGGTTACCTGACTGCATATATTCATCAAAACTCATTGGCTGTACACTTAAGAATGGTTAACATTTCTGTATGTTGATAAAATAGACTTAAAAGTTCTGTAAGTCTGTCTAGGATTTTTTTCAGGAATACAAATAGTATTCAGATGAGAAAGAAACAGACGGCAGCTACTCCACATACTGGTCATCACTGCAGAGAGCAGAGCTTTCACCTAAAGCCTAGCTACTCAAATTGTGGTCCAGAGATCAGAAAACAGCATCACCCTGAGAACTTCTTAGAAATGCAAACTCTTGGGCCCCCACCTAGATCCACTGAATCCAAATTTGCATATTATCAAGACCTCCAGAAAAGTACACTTAGTACAAGCTTACTTCTGCTACAGCACATCAAGAAGACAATCAACCACAGAACTCACCTGTCCATATAAATGATCTGAGGAAATTCAAGCTTATTGTGGATTTTCTCTGGCTGACCCAGGGATTGATTAAACTCAAATCTTGAGAGTTCAAAGGTCAACACTGGAGGTAGTTTTGTAAACCAACGCTAAATCAAGAGTAGAAATACAGGAGAGAAAAGTTAAGTTTAGGAACCAACAATAGCCAGATTTAAACTATCCCTCATTAGACTCTCTTTTGGTGTAGAATTTATATTCAAATGAACTCATACTGAAAAATTTTTTTTAATCCCAAATAGTTAAAATGCCCACACAGAATCATGCCTTTTTACAGAATATGGTTAAACTCTCCTCAAGACTCCAAACTTACAAGCCAGTGAACATTTTAATTCAACTATCATCGTCAGAAATAATGACCTTTAAATATGTGAACTGCACCAAAAATCTACATATCATTTACTATATCATCAACATTTAAGAGGCTTAAAACCTGGAGAAAATAGCTAGCCCAACCAATGAATTAGAAATTGTTTAAAAAGACTAATACGTGTACACATCCTCTATACTACTTACTCACACAGAGTTTGAATCCCCTTTACTACTAAAAACGAACCTTGAAATAGCCTCATGATTCTGAAAAAAAACTCTGAATCCCAAGAATTTATGGATAACACAAAGGACTTCGTCAAATCAACCAATAAGTTACCTTGAGTTTCAAGAAAAGAAAGTACTGAGTTATAAAAAAAGATCTCAACTGTCACTGATCATAGATGAGGAAAAACTAGACCAGGAAAGGCATTTCTGTTCAAGTCACCTGTGTGGCAGAGGTTCATACTAACAACTTTAAAATGTTCCCTTTACCAAAGGTGCAAATAGCTATATTCCCTCCACATACCCTTGTCGGCATGAGGTGAATCCAAATAATCTGCCTGCCTTCCTCAGAGCTAAATCTAAACAGGCACTATTTTCTATTTTTTTTAATAGAGAGGTCCAATTCTTGAATAAAAGTCTCCAGAGGTCCAAGTTGTGAACAAACACTCTTTCTCTTTTGTAAGAGCATGCATCAGCTCTGCACAGGTGGCACAGACGTTAAGTCTCCCAATCAGGAATTAACACGTTCCTCGCAAAGCTAGGGAGGCAATAGTTCTCTCCCTGTTCTAACACTGCTCTACAGCTAATGTACTTTGACAAGGCTCATGTCAGGCTCCCTGTTAAATTCAAGAAAGATTTTCTTTCTCCTTTAAGTAATTACTGGATTGGACTCATAAAAAGCACAACTCTGTTTTAAAATGCATGATGAAAGGAGAATAATTCAAGCTGTGTGGTGTTGGCAATTATGCTACAATATAACTCACTAACTCTTACCAGTGGAAACGTTGAGATGTTTAATTACCCTTACTTGCCCTTCACCTTCCCCCTTTCTTTCCAACCCACAAAAACAAATGAATCTTAAATTTAAAAAAATTAAAGCAAAGGCAGAATTTACAACTGAGAACAGTAAATACTACAGTAGGGAAGATATTCTAAATGGCATGCCATAGGAATAATCACTGCACTTTCACCCTCCAAAAATATGGAGGCAGGGGGTCTCCCTATTCAGGTACAGGGAGGCTTCAACAGAAAGACAAAAACTTGATCACACTTAAAACATCAGAGGCGGCATAAAACCTTTATATAATTAACTCAAATCATACAAGAATTTAATATCAAACACTAAGGCTCACTACTCTTACCAACTCATGAGACACTTTAGACTAGTACAAGTCCTGCGAAGTGTAAAAAGTTATTAATACGTGATGTGAAAACAGTCTGCCCAAAAGCTCAGTCCTATTTAACTGGCTTTGTCAATGGCAAAAGCAAAAATATCCAACTCACCTCTTGTCCGTACTTCACTGCATGATCGGAAGGAAGCAGCTCAACGTCACCCTCCACCATGGCCCCTTCTAAACACTCGTCTAAGTTACGGTAGCCGTTTACCTGAAGGGGGTACTGGCCGAAGGTCTCATTGTTACAAAAGGGCTTTCCTAGGCGAAGAGACAGGTTGCTTTTTTAAATGCATCACTACTGCTTTCTAAAGCTTTTTCCCTGGCACCACAGAAACAATATCTTCTTAATTCAGCAATTTGCTGAGAACACGTTAGAAGTATACATGGCCTTGATGAACCAGTGGATCCACGCACAGATCACTGACAACTGCTAACCTCACAAGAAAGACAACCAGAGGTAACATGTCTCCTAATCAAAGACTGTCCTACCATCTACAGATGAGTCTAGACTAATTAAAAAGCCTTACCTGAATCTGGCCAAATTCTAGATCCAACTACCAATTTATGAAATGATGAGCAGAGAGGAATATGTTAAAACATATCACAGATAATGAGCAGCAAAATTTTAGACTGTAGAGAATATAAGAGAACAACGTAATTTCTTAAAAAAAAAAAGTTTCGAGGAAGAAAAAATGGGGGGATGGGATAGTCTGCAGATTCTGGAATGAAATGAAAAGACCTATCAACCAGTCGCAAATGAGTCACATTTGATCCTGATAAACACAAACTGTAAAAAAGTATACACATAGGGAAGTGCATTTATATTTACATACATAAATTTATTTACTTATATACACAAAAAATCATAAAACAAATAGGGTATTTGAACACTTGGGTAGTTGTATACGACAGTAAGAAATGCTGTTTTGGGGGAGTGATAGTGGATTAGATTGTTCTAAGAGGCTATCAGAAGGGTAAAAGATGACAAGGGTTAGATAGAGAATGACTGGCCATGTGTCTGATATGCAGCTAGATAAGCCACTAGAGGAGACACACATTTTTTGGCAGTCTGACTCAACGACACTTTGAGCTTAGATATTACGTCTGGAAAAAACAGAGAAAACTGATAAATATCAGGGTGTGTCTAATATTAATACCAGGTTTGGGTTGGGTAATATTATTCAATTCAATATAACACTTCTACAACAAACACTGTGCCCATTTTACAGATGAAGAGACTGAGGATCCAGGATCACAGAGCTTGTCCATGATCACACACATCAAAGAGGCAGAACTAGTATTCAGACCTGCATTTGTCTGACTCTCAAGCCTCTTCACAGTAAATATACATGTGGTCACAAGTCGAGAATTAACATTTAGAGCAAAGGATTTACCTTCACGAATCCCTTCAGTGAGGAAAGTACCATAGAACAGCTGCACCATTGGATTTTCAGATTTGTTCCTGGGATTGCTACTTTTAAAACAAGGAAACAATTCTGTATCATTTGGATGAGGTAAGTAATATACTAAACCAAACCATCACTCAAAAGCAAAAATAAAACATTTTCATTAAGAGCCAGGTATGGTCTAAAGTGAAGGATTAGTTACTCAATAAGTTTAGTTCAAAAACTCACTGGTCAAGTATATGCCCAGCACTGTACTAAAGTCTGGAGACATGAAGGCAACAGGCATGATCCTTGGCCTTAAGGAGCTGAAAGTCTAATAAGAAGTCATACATGCAAATACATGTATGTGTGTATATTCAATAGATACATCCATATCCAGTGACAGAAGTATATAAGGTACAGAAATTGTATAAAAGCAAGAGTGAGCCCTCTTGTGCAGCTTTTCAAATGAAAAGTTTTCCTGGTGGCATAATAGAAATGGAAAGAAAACGGTTTATTTCTCTAATCCCTTCTTAAATGTATTAGAAAGCTATTTTATGATACATACTTCTTCCATCTAGAGTTAAAAAAAAAAGTTTAGGGAACAAATACCTCTGCATCTATATTTGGTAAGAGGTATATTCCTTGCCTTGAATTTTACTTCTGTCAGTAACTGAAACAATTAAACTCAATGTATTCTCCATTCTCCATTCTCACATCAAGGATTGATTTGACCTTTCAATACATTTTAGAGCACAGGTGTTGACTTTTAAAAGTTAATAGTTATGGCCCTTTTAGTAAAAAGTTACAGATTAATGTGATTATCTGTAGAGGGGAAAACCAAAGACAAGGGGGATAAACAATGACATATACGAGTGGCTACCCCATGGGGTTTGGTAAAAATCAGTAATTTCTACTTGAGAAGAATACTCTTCTCCTGTATCATCATTCTCAGTGAACTGCTATGAGTAGAATGCACAAATCCGCAGCACTCACTTAACATTGACAGCTAGCTGGAAGGCGTCCTCCAGCCAATCCAGGAGCTTGTGTGTGAACTCACTCACATCTTGCTGTAAGAGAGGCATAAGGTGCAGAAGAGTTAGACTCAACACTGTACATGGGCAAATGAAACTCTGCCCTTATCCCGCCAATGAGGAAGGCACTATTACTGTGTAAGATTTCTTTTTCAGGTCCAAATATCATGAAGATACAAGGAACACCGGAGCCCAAGGGCTGCAGACAACACAAGGTGCTCTAGGGGATCCCTCACCAGGAGGAAATGGAACACTGCCCCTTCCAGCTGCATCTATTTGTAACAAACTATCAAACACATCTTCCAGCTAGGCCTTTTAGAAAGGTTCAAAGAACAGACTGTAGTCCTCTAGAATAGGAGATCTGTAGGGGGAAACAAAATGTTTCGAAATGTTCTGAGAATTGGTAGAACTACAGGACCTTTAGACAAACAGAGAAAAAAAAGTAATTGTATGAACAGTGCTAGTTTTGATTTTAATAGGAGATAGGGAAAGGAACAGACTTGTGACTAGAAAAGAAGGATTGCTCAGAAAAGCTACTGAACTCAGTTTTAAGACAGTTTTAAAATTAGGATTTCGATCTGGGCCATTCCAAGACAAAGGTGCAGAAAAAGGACGGACTTTCTTTTCCTTGGTGACCCTTTGCCATGATTCACTGAGGTATCTTCCAACCTCCTCCTTTCTAATTCAACAGTCCCTGGAAAATTCTATTCTTTCTACTACTTCTTTCCTTTAGAACCGCCAGCCTCCTCTACACAACACACATACACATTCTTTTTTACCACCTGTTCCTTAAGCATTATAAAGGGCAAAAGCAGGCACTGAAGTCCTACACCATCATGTTCACAGTATTATGCAGCTGAAACAAAGCGGCATCACAGCAATAGTCACAAGGCATCACTGCAGGCTCCAGGACGACAGGATTCCTGTACCTGCTGTTCCTCGGGTGATCGGAACGCTCCCTTTAAGAGGTCCAGGGCTGCAGAAGGGTCTACAAACTTGCGATTTGATCCCATCATCAGAGCAAACAAATACTGAAGCTCCTGCATAAACACGATATTTCTCTTTTCCTGCAGGAAAGATAGTCATATGTACTCTTATAACCTTGTATTTGGAAAATTAGAACGCATAAAGAGAAAAGTTGTTAACGATCACTCCCTGATTTACATTTATGAAGATCTAGATCAGAGTCAGGTCTCAAACTGTTACAGGTATTCTGATAAGGGCTGTGGTGGGGATTGCCCTAAACTCAAGACTACCTGTGTATTGACAGAAGCCAGAGACAGAATACTGTCAGAAAGTACAAGTGTTCCCTTTCTAAAGCCGCTGCCCTCCCTCCTGCTGGGAACAGCATCACCAAGGTGAAACCTTGGCAGGGCAGGGCTGACCCGAGCAGGAGGCTACCCGCTTTGGCAAGAATGAGCTGCAGTCTCCTGTGAAGGTCCAGGCCTCCAGCGTCCCATCATCCACCCTGCATCACTCAGCTCAAGTGGCTGAAGGTGCCTGAAGGAGGCCCAGGGGCAGAAAAGCTGAGGCCACCAGAGTGACTCACTGCTTTCTTAGAACTACTTTTCTCATTTTATTCCTGCTTAACTTCACATTTTTGTAAATCCTTATTTCTTGTCACAAAGAAATAAAAGGGGTCATCAGGAGACGGAAACAAATGCTGCAGAAGCCAGAGACCATCACAGTCACCAGCTTTAACCAAAACCTAAAGGTCTTTGGGATGAAAGGGGCTGAACACCAAAGACTCCTCAACACCAATTTACCGTGTGACTTGGACAATTTTCAAGTACGTTCTGTGGTAGACTATAGCTGAGGACAAGTCTTCGGAATTCAGGCAATTGAAACAGAGACTGAAATAAAGAAGGAAATGGATTAATAGCCTTTCTTTCAAAATAACTGCAGCAAAAAAAATTTTTTTATCATAAAAATATGTGTATAACCATTAACTTAGTAATTCTATTCTAAGAATTTAATGGCTATGTATAAAAATTTAGCAGAAAGAATGTTAATCCTTTTTAGAGAAAAACTAGAAACAACCTAATGGCTAATAGGAAAAGATTAAATAAACTATAGTTTACCTGTACAGCAGATTATTATACCATCATTAATACTGCAGAAACAACGTTTTCATAAAATGGGCAACTACACAGTAAAAATGAATGCTCAAGAGTTACATATATCAACATGGATGCATCTCAGAAACATTCTATGTAGAAAAATAAGAGTACTATGCTGTGTATATGAAGTTCAACCATATAAAACAACATTGTACACTGTTAAGGGTTACATACATCTGTAGGTGTGTCTAGCAAGGCGGGGCACATATAATGGGCAATGAGCATAACAGGGACTCAACAGTACAGGGATTCGAAACATTTCTTTCTAAAACTGTGTTCAATATTCTCCACTGTTTGTCTTAAGTACTGGTATTAAGAAATTATAACAGCAGATATCTCGGACTGGCAGAATTAGGGAAAGGGATTCCTTTTTATTGCTTATAAATTACACATCTTTCCAACTATGACTGACTCTCTTTTGAAAGTTGATGTTTTAAAAAATCTCTTGTATGACTCTTAACTCCTCATCCCAACATACTCCTCCAGTGAAAAAGCCTTCCAGCCCATAGACTGGAACTCTTGGAGCAGTAGCCTGAGTGGACAATGGGCCTCCGACTTCCCACACTCCAGCACAAGCCCTACAGAATTCAGCCAATAGTACACCTGGACTGGGGACATCACAAGCTCTACTGGGATTCAGCCAACAGGAGGAGTGGACACCTGGCCTGGCAACTTCAGTCAGGTGAGGCTGGGACAGCAAAGTTCTGTCTGGAGCCAGGCCTGGGATGCTCACTCTACCTGCCACCTGCTCTCTTCTCTTCCCACCTCCCCTGTCTACCTGGCCCTTCTCCACTCTTCTCAGTTTCATCCCCGTTCTGCTAACAGGAAAGTTCCAGGACTTCTCTTCCACCATGAGAAAAATGGTTTTATATTCCCAAGTCCCTTCACTGCAGCTCTGCAGCTTCGCCAAAGTCTGGCTTCCCCCAAAGATACTGTGATTCTTAAAAATGACAACAGCGTGAGTTAACATTACTCACATTTCCCAATACTGACTGGCCCTCCACCATCTGCTGCTTTTCCAGAAGTCTCTCTAGCACTAATTACATCCTCCTCCTCCAGGCATCAGAGTTTAGAACTTCAGAATAATCTTTGACTCCTTTCCTTTTACTATCCATTGACATCCAGTAAGAAGCCCCTTGCACTCTGCCTCTGGGGCACTGTTTTATTCATAACCACGTCCTCTCCCTCAGTCTCGAGCACCTAATCCAACCTCCAGATCCTCCTCTCTACCAGCCCACTCTCCACACAGGTCCTTCTCACTCTCTAACATGTGTGACCAAAACAGAGCCCCGAGCCACTGAAGACTGTCACGTGGTGAGAGCTCTTCCGACCACCCCAAGTCCGCCAGCCTTCCTAGGTGACTTTGGTCAACATCCAACCCATGGGACAGCCTCTCAGCTCTGCCTTGGGGATAAATCAAGGTTCCAACCTCTCCTCCACTCCCACGGCCACCAACCTGGCCCAGCACGCCTCTCGGTGACGACTGCGGCAGCCCCCTTCACAAGTCTCAACACTTGCATCCTCACCCCTCCATTCTGCTCTCCTCAGGGGCCAGAGGGAGCCTTTGAAAACTCAAGCCAGAGTCCATCACTCCTCCGCTCAGAACCCGTACAACGACTCCCCGTGTCACTCAGAACAAAAGTCAAGTTACCTCTCCAACAACACCTCCGATGACCCTCACCTCCACTCAGCATTCCAGCCACTCGGGGCTCTGAAGTCCCCTGAACACGCCAAGTTCTCTCCCACGCTGGGGCCCTGCGAGGCACGACCGTCACCTGGAACACCCCCAACCCCTGCCCCCACCCCCGGCAGCTATGGGCCCGCTCCCTTGCCTGCTGCCCAGGCATGTGCTCCAGCCTCAGCCCCTCAAAAGTCCTGGCCTGACCTCACAGTTGATGTGGGAAACTCCTCCCGCCCTCCCGAGGCAGCTCCAGCCTCCCTCCCCCTCCTCTCTTCTCCACCACACCGACCACAGTTTAACATAGTATAGAAACTTCTCTCTCTAGTTAACTAGCTAAGTTTTCCAACTATTTATTATTTTTTATTTACTGTTCCTTGTCCATCTTGCCTCACAAGAATCAACCTTCCTAAGGGCAAGGCTCAGTCTGGGTTTGGTTCACTTCTGTATCTCAAGGGCTCAGAACAGCACTAGGCAGCTATCTGGCTTATATTCATGGAAGGAACACAGGTACTTTTGCTCAGTCCAGGGACCTCTGGCTCCCTGAGCATCTTACCTCTCGTGACCTACTCCTCGGCTCCATCTCCACACCCCCATCCACACCCAGGAAACCTCAGTACCTGAAACAACTACCAACACTCAGACCACAAATTCAGAAAACCCTGCTCTGGACAGATAACCTGTCCTCTGGCTCACGTGTTCAGGGGCCCACAGGACACCGGTGCTTTGACGTCATCAGGAAAGCAAGCAAACGAGTATCTTCCCTGTCTCCCCAGTCATTACCTCCTTCCTATCATCATTTCGCCCTCTCCCCAGCTTTGATCCCATGATCTCTAACCATGATTCATTAAATTCTCAAACTGTCCTTTCGTTCTTTCATCTTACCCAGCAAATCCTCCAACTTAGATGAACTTGAATTTTCCACTTAAGCAGTGTGGAGCACTGCCAAGAGAAAAAGTCTCGATAAAGCAGGACACACTGATACCACCATGCATTTCATGCATTTAAGTCTATAAGTTCAAGCAGAGCTTCGTATTTTTAGAAATTCTACTACTGTGGTCTGGTGCCAACTGGTTTCCTGCTGTTGACAACTATTTTAAACTTTCACCCTCTTAAAGAGATTCTGTCAACTTTTCCACGCTGTCTCAGAAAGTGGTGCTTATTTCAGAGGAAAAAATGACTATCAGGAACCATTTCAACGTGAGCTAGCAGTCATCACTTCTTCCTGTCCTCTCCTGCCCTCTTGCTACTGGAGGCCAAGCCCTCCTGTCCCATCCTCCCGTACTGTCTCTGAAACTCTTCTCAGTTGTCTCCTCTTCATCATCTCTCACAGGAGGGACGTCAACTCGGGGGGGGGAGGGGGAGATGGGGGGAGGGTCTCAGTCTCAGTCAATCTCTCTCCCTCTCTCTCAAAAGGAAAGAACTGACTGATGTCCCTAATTCCTGATGAACCTCCTACATCCTATTCTCAACACAGAAGCCAGTGAGCCTCTTAAAGCAGAAGCAGAATCACAGTACTCGTCTGCTCCAGAACTTCCAACACTTACCACCTCTCATAATTTCTGAATCCCTGGCATGACCCCTGGGTTCGCCCGTCTCCCCCAAACCTCTGTCGTCACTGCTGTCTGCTCCTCCTCCTCGGTTGCTCAGTCCCAGGTCTCCCCCTATTTCTCAATGTACTAAGCTCCTGACTCTGAGTCTTTGTGCTTGCCATCCCCTCTGTCTGCAGCGTTCTTTACGTGATCACAGGAAACATTCTTCATGTAACTACATGGCCCATCCAACCCCTCACCCAAGTCCAGCCTCTGCTCTGGTGCTCACCGTGGCAGAAAGGCCTTACCCAACCCCCCTGAAGAACAGCACCCCTTCCCTCTCTAGTCCCTCTTACTCTCGTTCGTCTTTATAGTCCTTAGCACCACCTGATATGTAATTTGTATTCTGTATGCCCCATTCTTTTCAAACTCCATGGGAGTGTGGGCCTTGTTTTATCTACTGCTGTTTCCCCAGTGCTAAAACAGTGCCAGGCAAGGAGTGAGCTGAAGGAACCCATGGATTTTATGCGTGGAAACAGAGGGCTCAGTTTTTGGTGAGCAGTTTTTGGTTGCTGGCAAGTACTACGAAGGAGAAGCTTGCAGGATGGGGTAAAGTGCCACGTTAAGTTTAAGAGGCAACATGTGCCCCAGGGTAATTCATCTACCCATCCACAGGGCTTGATCACCAACTACAGGCTACTGATTCCCAGAATTTTATCTGCAGCCCAGGTCTTCTTACTGAACAACAGATTCACAAAGATAACTGCCTACCCAGTAGTTCCATGTGGACCCTACAACTCAGCACGTTTTAAAACTAACCAAATCCCACGTCTGACACACATGCAAATTATTCCTCCTCTTGTGTCAGATGGCACTGTTGTCCACCTGGTATCTCAAGTCAGAAATCTGGTCTTCCTCAGCCCTTCCTACACATACCCTTACTAGGCTGCCTGCTATGCCCTATACATCTGATCTCCTGAACACCTTGAGAATGTTTTTACTCCCACCTTCCACAGTTTATGCCACTTTTCCATTCCAGGCTGCGACCATTTCCTTCCTGCTTGGTCCCTTACAATAGCCTCTCAAAGACTGATTTCTCCTTGTTAATTAACTCGTGCTCTGCTACAACACACCACTCACTCAACCTATTTAAAAACACGGAAGATTTTGTTTTCAGTACTGCCCACTTTAGACATCAGAGTGTATAGGTCCGAAACATAAGAAAGTAACTGAAATAGGATAATACTGTGGGGAAAACTCTCCAGGTTTACTTATCTGTCTCCATTTTTTTCAAAGCTGTGTTTCTCATATTTCAGCTTAATACATTACAAAACTGTCTGCAAAGGCACAGTTGTCTCTTAAAAATTTCATACCTGAATAACAGCACTAAACCAACATGTATTGCCAACATTTTTCAACCCAACTGGCCAACCATCAACTCGTCTCCAGTCATTGGGATTGGGATTTTCTCCCCAGACTTCACAACGTTTTCTCTTGGAGCGTTTCGTTTCCGCAGAGGTTGCCTCGTGCATCCTATATTGTGCCAACACACCACACATCAAAAAAGAAAAGAGTTAAACAACAATATTCTATAAGGAGGCTGTAGATAACCTTTCATAGGAAATTCAAAATGCCAGGTACGCTACTAACTGGGTTATCACTGGGAGTATCATAACTTTAGTTTTAACACAAATGAAAAGTAAGGTTTAAACATAAAGTTGTTAAAATCCTTCCAAGCAGAGATTATTACTAGTAAGGCCCTGATGGAACTGAGTTGAGACTCAAGACTATTAAAAGTTTTATATTTCAATGAAAGTGCCTTATTTCAGACTTGGCATTGAAAGAGGCAAGAGAGACACTCTGCTAAAGATAAGTGCCTCCAAATTGTTTAACACACATATCACGGTCCTAAACAACTCAGCAATAGGAGGGGATCAACGTGTCTACAAACTAACATGCCACCCCTGGAACTGGGTTATTTGTGAACAACACCAATCACTAAATCAGTACCAATTCAAACACTATATCCCTCTAGTCACTTCTGAGACAGGGGAGTTAATGATAACCTTCATTTTCAAATAGCCAACAACATAACTCTCAAAGTTTACAAAGGCTCAAGGTTTACAAACAGAATACGAACTCATAGACACTTAAAAAAAAAGAGAATATGTATTTATCAGATATTTGTACTAGTTTGGTTTCCATCTTAGCAACTAAAAATTACAAAACCTTGCAGTTTCTACTCAACTCAAAGACAGCAGGCTGCAATAAGACTCTTACCATATTTAGCTTCTTCAAAAGTGAACCAAAGAGTGAGTAAGCTAACATGAATTTAAATTTTCTTGTAAAAGAAGTTTCATTTAGGTGCAATTAAAGAAGCCTGGCAGAACTGTCTTTGACCTACACACTAAGGTGTGGAACAAAGATTATAAATTAAGTCAATAACCTGTTAAGATCTCTTCCATCAGTTTGAATTTTGGGGGACTCCAGTAGACTCAAAGCAATGGCAGCCTGAAGATCATCCTTGCTATCGTGAGTAAGGTCTATCACTTCTGTAAGATAAATAGAAATTTAATTAGTCTACATGCAGGAAACACTGCCTTTCTGTCTATATTGAAGGCAAAAAGGTAAAAGCAGTCACAAAATTAGCTCTCACTACAATGGCTCATCTGTGAAAATACAACCTTATTATTCCATGCCAGAGTCCAAGTAATAACTTACTGCCACACTGTAACCTTAAGATTAGCTAACAGCACAGTAATAACAAGCTGCTAAAGTGCAATGAATCAAATACCCCCTTTTGCAGCCTTACTTCACAGAGTCAGAAATTTATCCCATACCTGTAGTTTAAATAGTGTACTTATTGTAAAACATCAGCTAAAAGTTAAACATTCAAAAATTGGGTACTTTCAATCTCACACAAACTACTTATATGCAGAGTACATCATGAGAAATGCTGGGCTGGGCTGGGCTGGAAGAAGCACAAGCTGGAATCAAGATTGCCGGGAGAAATATCAATAACCTCAGATATGCAAATGACACCACCCTTATGGCAGAAAGTGAAGAGGAACTAAAAAGCCTCTTGATGAAAGTGAAGGAGGAGAGTGAAAAAGTTGGCTTAAAGCTCAACATTCAGAAAACTAAGATCATGGCATCTGGTCCCATTACTTCATGGGAAATAGATGGGGAAACAGTGGAAACAGTGTCAGACTTTATTTTGGGGGGCTCCAAAATCACTGAAGATGGTGATTGCAGCCATGAAATTAAAAGACGCTTACTCCTTGGAGGGAAAGTTATGACCAACCTAGACAGCATATTAAAAAGTAGAGACATTACTTTGCCAACAAAGGTCCATCTGGTCAAGGCTATGGTTTTTCCACTGGTCATGTATGGATGTGAGAGTTGGACTGTGAAGAAAGCTGAGCACCAAAAATTGATGCTTTTGAACTATGAGAGTCCCTTGGACTGCAAGGAGATCCAACCAGTCCATCCTAAAGGAGATCAGTCCTGAGTGTTCACTGGAAGGACTGATGCTGAAGCTGAAACTCCAATACTTTGGCCACCTCATGTGAAGAGTTGACTCACTGGAAAGACCCTGATGCTGGGAGGGATTGGGGGTAGGAGGAGAAGGGGACGACAGAGGATGAGATGGCTGGATGACATTACCGACTCGATGGGCATGAGTTTGAGTAAACTCCGGGAGTTTGTGATGGACAGGGAGGCCTGGCATGCTGCGATTCATAGGGTCGCAAAGAGTCGGACACAACTGAGCAACTGAACTGAACTCTAGAGAATAGGGAATATACTCCTCAAGCCATCTTACACAGTCAACATAACACCTTGTTATGTCCCAAGCCAATCAAGGACAGTAAGAGAAAGGCAAAATGACAAACTCACGCATGATCACAGATGTAAAAAGCCTAAATATAAACAAACAGAATCCTGCTAACACACCACAAAAGATTATATATTAAGACCAAGCTGAATTTACTGTAGAAATGAAATACTGAGCTAATGTTAGAAAAGAGACCAGTAAAACTCATTATCTAAATAATTAAAGGAAAAAATGATCATCTCAATAGATACAGAAAAAGTATTTGATAACATTCAACTTCTATCAAGGAATAAAAACTCCAAGCCAAGTAGGAAGAGAAAAAGAGTATTTTTAGACTGATAAAGAATTATCCATGGAAAACCCACAGCAGACTTTATACTGAATTGTGAAATTTCCTTTAAAACCAAGAATAAGATGAAGATGTCTCCTGTGAGGGCTTTTACTCACTGTCGCTCTGAAAGTTCCAGGTAGTGTGATAAGAAAATAAGATAAAGTTTAAAAAATAAAGATTGCAAAGTAAGAAACAAAACTTGCAATTCACATATACAATGAAGTCCAAAATAATCTACGGAAAATGGGCATAATGATTAATAAGAGGTGGTTAGATAAGCAATCAATGAACAAAAGTTAAATGAATTTCTGTACCTGAGCAATGAAATAATTTATAAAGAAAAAAATCACAAAGAACACAAAACTAATCATCAAGACCTTGTCTACCAGCCCAAGAACAAATGTAAGGATCAGTGGAACAGAAGCACTGGAACTGAACTGACGGTCCAGCAATAAACCTCACGGTTGCAGTCAACTGATTTTCAACACAGATACCAAGGCAATTCAACAGAGAAAGAATATCTTTTCAACAAAAAATGCTGGGACAATTGGATATCCACAGGCAAAAAATGACTTTTAACTCCTTCCTCATATCATTTACAAAAATGAACTCAGAGTGGATCGAGCCCTCAAGATAAGAGGTAAAACAAAACTCTTAAAATAGGTAAATCTTCAAGACCTTGGATTAGACAATGGCGTCTTCCAGATGACACTTAAAGTACAAGAGTTAAAGAAAAAACTGATAAACTTGACATCATCAAATAAATATCTCTGGGCTTCAAAGTATACCATCAGGATAGTGAAAAGACAACCCACAAAATGAGAGAAAAATTTGCAAATCGTGTATCTGGTAAGGGAACTATATACAGAATATATTAATTCCTGCAACTGAAAAATAAAAAGACCAACTTTAATATAATAATATAATAATAATAAAAAAATTTTAAAACGGGCCAAGAATTTCAATGGACAGTCCTCCAAAGGAGATATACAAATGGCCAATAAGCACATGAAAAGGTGTTTCACATCATTAGCCATTAGGAAATTCAAATCAAAACCACAATGAGATTAACATTTCACGCCCACTTGGAAGGCTAAACAAGTGTCAGTGAAGACGTAGAGAAGTTAGAACCTTGTATAGTGCTAGTGGCAATGTAAAATGGTGCAGTTGCTGGGGAAGCTAGAGGAATGGTTTGGCAGTTCTTCAAAACGTTAAACACAGAAAGTTTCATGACATTGATTTTTGGATATGACACCAAAAGCACAGACAAAAGCAAAAATCAACAAACAGAGCTAAATCAAGCTTTGTAAAAACTTTAGAAGCATGAAAGGACACAATCAAAAGAGTGAAAAGACAATCTACAGAATGGAAGAAAATACCTGCCAATCATATATCTGATAAAGAGTTAATATCCAGAATATATACAGAACTTCTACAACTTGACAACAATAAAAGCTCTACTAATCTGATTTTAAAATAGGCAAAAGACTTGAATAGACATTTCTCCAAAGATGATGTAACATGGCTAACAGGCATATGAAAACATGCTCAGTGTCACTAATCATCAGAGAAAGTGCAAAGTAAAACCACAATGTGCTGCTATCGCCTCACATGGATTAGGATGGCCATCAAAAAACCCATAACCAGAAAATAACAAGTATTAGTGAGGATTTGGAGAAACTGGAACTCTTTGGCATTTTTGGTAGGATTATAAAATGGTGCAAATGCTATGGGAAACAGTACAGAGGATCCTCAAAAAATTAAAAATAGAACTCCCATATGATCCAGCAATCTCACCTCTGGGTATACATCAGGGTCTCAAAGAAGTATCTGCACATCCAAGTTCAAATGGCTCTATTCACAAAAGTCAAGAGGTGGAAGCAACCCCAATATCCACTGGCAGATAAATGGATAAACAAAATTTGGTATATACATACAATGGAGTATTATTCAACATTAAACAGAAAGGAAATTCTAACATGCTACAGTGTGAATGAGCATTAAAGACCTTATACTAAGTGAAACAAGCCAGGCACAAAAGGACAAATACTCCACAATCCCACTTATAAAAGGTACCTAGAGTAGTCAAAATCATGGAAAACAGAAAGATGGAGGTTGCTAGGAGAGGGAGTAATAGGGAATTACCTTTAAATGGGTACAGGTTTCAGTCTCACAAGACAAAGAAAGAGTTCTGGAGATGGATGGTGATGATAGCTGCACAATGACATGAATGTACATAATACCAGTGAATTGTATGCTTAAAAATTGTTGTGATAGTAACTGTCATGTTATGTGTAATTTACCATAAGGAAAAAAACTGGAAAGAAAAGAAAGGAAATACTGTCACATGCCACTGCATCGATGAACATTGAGGATATTATGTTAAATGAGATAAGCTAGTCATGAAAACGTAACTATATGATTCCACTTATATGAGGTATTTAAAGTAGTCAAATTCATAGAAGTAGAAAGCAGAAGGCTGTTACCAGAGGTGGGGTAGAGAGAGAAAAGGGTTGCTTAACTGGAATGAAGTGTCAGATTTACAAGATAGTTCTGGAGATCTTTTACATGATAATGTGAATATACTTAACACTACTGAAATATACACTTAAAAATGGTTAAAATGTAAATTTTGTTACTGTGTTTTTACCACAACTGAAAAAAAGAATTCTAACTAATAAATTACAAGGTAATGACATATAAAATATTATCATTTTGAAATCTCCAATAAAATAAAGAATCTAAGCAATAATCACCAATGGTGGCTGGAAACACTAGGTAGGGAATTTTGTAATAAATGAATCAAGTTGACAACCTGAACACAGTAACAATTTTAACAACACAAAAAGGGGGTGACCAGACATTATTTGCTTCTTGATATGACAAAACAGGAGAAATATACACAATACTACCTATGACCCTGTCATGCTAGATAAGCACCTAAATTAACAGGAAAGACAGAGGACATAAAACTTCATATACCACAGGAATGCAAACAGCAAATTCCAGAATGCATGATACATGACAGAAAAAGAGGTGGGACTTTATAGATAAAAGGAATCTGAAAAACATTTCAAACATATTTTTTTAACTTTTTTTTTTATTGAAGTATAGTTGACTTACAATGTTTCAGCTGCGCAGCAAGATGATTCAGTTATACAAATACACATATATTATTTTTGACATTATTTTCCATCATAGGTTATTATAAGATATTGACTATAGTTCCCTGTGCCATACAGTAAACCTTTGTTGCTTCATATGAGCATTATCTATTTTTTAATTAGAAATCAAGCATTCTATTCATACTAAGTCAAACAAGTGGAATCAAGATGTCATAATTTTTTTAGTTAGGCAAAAACTCATAAGTTGTTAAAAATATATAT